ACGCCAACTGCAGGGCCAACTCCCCTGCAGCAGATTGGCGGGGGAGGCCCGCACGCCAATCTGCGCCTGGCGTGCGGATTGGCGTGCGCCATGGGGGTTGGCGTGCGGTTATCAACCCCCCATTATTACATATGTACATATAAAAACATTAATATTTAAATAAGTGGAATCACTATAAAAGAGACATTATTACTCATTACATTAAGTTTTACTAGTCATGAAATAAAACATAAAAATAAACCAAAAACATTTATAAATAAACATTTTTAACATGAATCTACAAATAACTTCTGAACCTTAATCAAAAGTTAGAATATTATTTCAGATTCTTAATTCTCATGCAAAATAACCTAGGGTACCTCACCAGAAGCACCCCTGAATTATTACTCCTTCATGTACTTCTGTGTACTCTGAGTGACACTTGCCCATTTTGCTGAAAACCCTCCCAGTTACATCATACTACATGTTGTGACAGGTCTACACATGTAATTAAGGTTCATGCAGTTCGGGAAAAATCTACAAATAAGGTTGACATCATTGAAATCTTAATTACATTGTCACAACAACTGTAACTGGCTGGTCAAAAGCCATTTGTGGCCCTTTTTGGCCCAATTTGGCTAACTACGCCTGGTTAAGACCAGCCCACTGGTCATTAAAGGGTCCCAGTGGCCAAACCATGGCTGCAGGTTCGTCACAGCACCCCTTAGTATGTGTTACAAGCCTCACTTCAGCCCTTTGCCACCTGTAACCAAGGACTACAGGTGTCTAGGCTGTGCTACAGGTCACCAATGCCTAGTAGGAGGCTTGCACCAGCCAAACAGAGTTCTGAGTTCGCCTCCAAGGGCCCAGAATGAGTATATAAGGAGCCCTTCTTGACCACGAACTCAAATTCCCCATCTTCATTACCACTTACCAGCAATAACCACCTCCAACAACCAGTTTTTCACCTGTTTTTGGCCCAGTTCCTGCTGTTTCTGTCTTGGATATCACCAACCCAACCATCAACTGTTCCCCAGAACTCTTCCAACACCTGTTACCCAGTTTTCTGAGCGCTCCCAGATCAGTTTTCACCCACCTGAAGTCCCCTTGGCTTGGAAATAGTACTAAGTAGGTAATATTTCCTTGATACTTCAGTTGTAGGCATTTTGTCTGGGCATACTCCTTTACACAAAGGACCAGATCATCAGGTACATCAAAAATACCCCTGTTTAACAGGTCCTGATTCATTGGAGGGCACCATAAAAACCCCTGTAACTCAGGCCCCTCCCTTTATAAAAACTTAATAGTTTTTATTTCTTCTTTTCTTAATATCAAAAAACTCCCCTTTCCAAGTGTTACCCACACTTGTACATACCATTTTCTTAGTTTGCACCTGGTGTAGCTAGAAGAGACCAGCTCTTGGCATCACCCAGGCTGACACATTCCTAGTCGCTCCTCTTCATCAAGTGAAACTTTTTCAAAAGCATCCTGGTCGTATATAAGATCAATGACTTTCTCTCGCTTAAGAAAGTCAACAAATGAGTCATAATCTTCAACCGACCCCCCTTTCCATGAGCCTAACCGACAGAAATCAAAATGTTCTTTGGCAAACATTGCCCTCTCGTCCGTGATTTTGGTCTTGAGTTCAACGAGATCACAGAATTTATTGCAAAGTGTGGTAAGCAAGCTTGTGAAAGAGGAGGGGTCGGCCCAGTTGACGAAATGGTTGGTCCGTAAGACACCTTGCTGCTGGGTCCATTTGCTTCTGTACCACATCTCGAAACCACACTGGACTGAGATCTTGTCGGGAGGGCTAGTTAATGGGAGAGCCCCCTTGCTGGTAGGAAGTTTTGGCGGTTTGGGAACTCTTGCAGCAGTGCGGGCGGCTCGTTGGGTGGGGTAGGGTTGGATGGCCGACATCCGTGCTGTGCGGGCCATCAGATATGGGTTGCTCCTGGATATTTCAGGGGCGGTAATGGCTGGTAATCCTGAACATCAGATGAAGTTGCGGAGAGGGTGGTTGGTTGTTGTAGGATCACACTATTGGTAAACAAAGTCACACACACCTGGATTGCTGGCACTGGGTGGAGGAAAGTGTGTTTGTTGCGGAAGCAAAGTGGGTGCAGGAGGCTGACTGAGGGGGATGGGAATGACCGGGGTGGATGTTGGATGGGAATACAACCCTCGAGCACGTTGGATTGCCTCTTGACTTTAGATTGGATCAGTTGGTGTGCTGACGTTGGTTGAGAATTGGGTGTCGGGGAAATCATAGACGAGGGAGCGGTTGTCTTGCTTGCGGCACGATCGACACAGGCTTGACAGCATCCCAATAAAACCCAGTTGCCCCTGGTTTCCCACACTGCGAACAAAACATGTTTGACCCCTTGGGCAAGATAAAGCATAAGTTGGAGTTGGGGGGTGACTTTGGGGGTGATGAAATCTATGAAACTTACTTTGGGTGTGTGTGTGGATGGTGGGTGGATGCCAGGCCCTGGTGCTCTTTGATGCTATTGGCAGGTTGGGAATGGCCGATACTTGGATGAAAAAATTATTTGTGGCTGATGTGTGGGTCTGGGTCTGGGTGATTGTATGGATGTACTCAAATACATGGTTAGATGTTGGTGGAACACATTGAGACTGTACACTTGTATTCTTCTGGCTGAAATGTCGTTTCGTAGGCACCTGTTTTTGGGTTATGAACTTTTTTGGCTAATGTGGATCTTCAGTGCCATGCATGGCGGCTCAGGGGCAATGATGGCGGCTCAGGGGCGTGAGTGGCCAACATGGCAGTTCAGATCATTTTTGAATTTGGCCACTCTGGCGGTACAGGAGCAATATTTGGCGGTTACTTGGCCAAAGTGGCGGTATATCACCATGTTTCGATTTTTTTTGGCTATTGTGGCACGTCAGTGCCTCCATACAATTGCAAGTTGAAAAATGATTATAATGATTAATTTCAAACCAAAAAGGCACACAACAGATCAAAGGGTCCGGGTTGTAAAACTCCCCGGTGTGGTAAGCCACTCTTGAATAAGAGGCCCACAAAATCAAAACTTCAAGCACAATAATAAGCCATCTGGACAACAATACCCTCAAGGACCAAGACAAGCTCCCTCTGGAATATTCCACCAACCTGCAATACCATGGATGTCACAATACCAAGCCCCCTGGACTGAAGACACTCTGGATTCTCATTTCCTTTCATTATTACATAATCATCCCATGCAGTCTTACATCATCAATCCCCATTCAGCCTTCCACACTTGGCCTTTGCATGTGTTTCATTCTATTCCATTTTCACTCTAGCCTCATTTCCACTTTGGGCCACATTATATGGTTTCACACTATTCCTCTTGGGTTATTTTCATGTCTCACACTAGTACACATCTGGCCAGTTCATTTATCTTGTTGGTACATTCTTCCTCCCTCATTGGTTGTGGCACATTTCATCCTTGCATGCCTCTGATGTCGTTTCCTCCATTTATCTTAGTGTCTACCAATTGGGCCACATTTTTTCAGTTTGATAATTTTCCCTTGTTCCATTTTGTTCCATGATGTTTCCAACCACAAAGACCTAGAGTTGGCCCCTTGGCATCCGGATATCCGGCTGCTTTTTCTAGGGAAACAGCCATCCGCACCCACATCCACATCTGCTGGCAGGTATCCCTCCACCCTAGTAGGTATCTTTGGATACCTGCCCCTTAAACCAAGGGTGGCTGGAGGGGGAGGCTGACAATTGAACGGAAGGGTATCCTTCCAGCCAAAAAGGCACATGTACCTTGTCAGCCAGAAGGAAAACCTTCCGGTTGACAAGGTACATGTACCTTGTTGGCCAGAAGGAAAACCTTCCAGTCAAAAAGGTGCATGTGCCTTGTTGACAAGGAGGCTTTCCTTCTGGTCAACAAGGTACATGTGCCTTGTCAACTGGAAGAGCTTTGGAAATGCTCCAGATAATTAACCTCAATAGTAGTGGGTATCAAATATAACCAAATCCACCATTATTTAATTGAATGGTTTGAAACAATTCACCCTTTTTTTAAACATGTTAGTTATTAATTTAACCCCTTTTGGGGCCCATTAATGCAAAAAAAAGTTTTGGGAAAAGTGACTGGTTTCCAATGGTGGATTTCCTATATTTGATACCCCCTAGTACTGATTTCAGGAGAAAAAGGGTAAAACAAATGATTACACACAATGTTATGAAGTTTGGCCATGATAATTTTGGCACCAAATTTTTCAGAATAGAGAATGGCTTTTGGTTCAATTCTAATGTCAGGATGGTACAATAGCTAGTAATCTTGCACCCAGATGTTCATGCCATGAAGGGCGGTTGAGCTGGAGCTTTGTCAGCTTGTCACTATGAATAGGAAAAGCTTACCTAATAATTTCATGATAAATAATTTATAACTAAGAAAATACAAGTAAAATAATAAATAACCTGTGCTGAATAATGAAAGCAGCAGCATTGAGTAAAATGAGTACTGAGAGCTTGTGCGGGTACAGAATAAGGATTCCGCAGCATGAAGTGTAGGAGCTCCAATCCCACGTCACCCCGACATGAGGAGTAGCAACCATCAGGAATAAGGAAAATCATTAAAAACTACAAACAAACCTCCTAAGAGAATAGCAATACTCCAACCTAGCTGAAGAAAATATGAAAGGAGGCCCTTGATGCGGGTAGGAGAGGCTCATTCATTCATCATCATCTGAACTGTTTCACACCTTTTTCCATCATCTCCATCCAACCTTCTACCAAGAACTAACATTCTGCCACTGTTGCTTACACCAATCCCAGACCCTACTTCCTACACTCCAATAATCTGTATCCTTTGTGTTGTTGATCAGGCTAGAACCACCATCTGGAGTTTCCACTCAAGTGCTGAGGACTCATAGCTCTCACCAATATTGTGAAGGAACTCCATCTCTGTACAGTGATTCTTCACCCTTCAAGTTTGTCACCTCCATCTCCCATCTCTACCACCACCCAGACCAATACCCCTAGCCAACATTAGGACTTGTAGTTGAGCTGCCTACAGTCTTGCTTGCTATTAGTGTCAGATTTAAACTTGTATCCCAAGGGAATCATAAACACACCCAACAATCTGGGCCCCTCTCCCCTATTATATTAATTCTTCTTCATCCAATACCAAACCACTCTCATCAGAGGGTGTAGCTAGAAGACCCTCTGTCTTGGCATCATCCTGTCTGACAAGCTTGGAAAAGCTTTTTTTAAATTTTTGTTAGAGTTTAAATATCACTATTTGGGAAAATAGGTAAGCCAGATTGGTGGCCAAGTGGTATTCTCAGGCTTTTATTATCAGTGGATAAATCCTACAAGGCACTTGTGTTCAATCCCCATCATTGACAGCTTCTCCCAAACTTGTTTCAAGAGACAAAAATGCACAATTGCATACATCTTTGGGCATTGACTGCCCTGCTCAAGATCCAACTGACAAAGGCCATCACCTGTGGACAAGCTCCAGACAATTCAGAGGAGCATACTCATGGACATTGAGTGTAACAAAGAAACCCACTGTGATTGGGGTCCACATTACAGATGCAAAATTAAGTGCAAAGTCTGTTTTCAAACCTGTAAATGTGGTGCAATTTTTCAAAATCATCATTTTATCATTCCTTACTGTGATTCTGATCATATAATTAGTGAATATTGTGATGGCACTAGTGCCACTGGCTATGAATTCCAAATGATTGATTAATGGCGCAGAGTATTGTCACTTACATGATAACATCCAGACAGGTCAAGATTGTCAGCCTTAGAGCCAGCCCAGCTGGCCAAAAGACTGCCAAAATTGCCCATTTCTATTCCAAATATTATCATATATTTTTTATCTTAAGACTTTTAACCTTTGTGAATTCAGAAATGGATTCCTGGAGTAAAATTAAACACAGTAACCACTGGTCAATTTTACTCAACTCCATTCCTTCATTGACTTTGTAATAATTCACAGTACCTTATGAACTAAGTACACAAGTTCTTTAGGTTTCAGTTTCCTCTACCACATGTACATGCTATTATTATGTAATCCAACTTTGAAAATAATCTCTGAGCTTGTTGATTCCGCTCCCAGAGGATTTTCAGACTCCAGACCAACACAGAACACCAACAACCAGACCCAGATCAAGCTACAACTTATCAACTAGAAGTACTCCACTTTTCCCACCTTCCCCACTACACAGTGTCATTGGTATCATTAGTAAGTAACCTCTCTTAAGTTAAGATAGCATCTTTCTGCTTGTTCCTCTTCTCTTTCTCTCTCAAACTTTCTTCACTCTTCTCCAAAACTAAGCCCTGATCCTCTAAAGCAAGCCATGGCTTTAAATATTCCAACTTTTCCTGTTTGGTGGTATAACTGGGAACTACCTAGGTTTACCTTTAAATAACCTTGATCATTGATCTAAAAAATTGTGGTTGATCTGATTTATCAGTATCAACAACCCATTTCAGTTTCTGTTGATTTGGAGGCGTAGAGTTAGCTCCGCTTATAACAGCCATCCTTTAAGGAAAGTAAGACTGCCAGAACTTTAATCTTTATCATAAAACAAATAAAAAAACAAAAATATTGTCAACTTCTTTCCCCTTCTCTTCTTCCTTCCCTCTACTTTTATTTGTATCTCTTTCCTCTTAAGAAATACATATAAAAGTGCCCCCCAAACCTTGTGTCCTGCTGTCACTATTGAGACCCAGGCTCACAAAGATTAATAAACAATTTTTTTATGTATCCAAAGTTTTAGTCATGAGAACACACAGAAAAATGCATGATTATTCACAAAAATAAGATAAAATGAATCCTGAAACAAATAATACAGATCAAGGAAAATTGGAATTTTGAATAATCAAAAAGGAAACTACTAGACAAATGGGGAAAGACACAAAAAAAGGAAAAGATTGATGAATTCATTAAACTGAAGAAACTTAGAGCATCTTTACTGTTTGAGCTAAAAGTGAGTGATTGTAACTTGTGACTATTGTTAAGCTATGATAGCAAATCCCATTTACTCACACCCGTGTGGCTTGAGGTCAAGCTGTGTGGTGTGGTTTGAATTAGAGGTGTGTAATTGTTTGCAGGAGGGTACTAGAATGAAGGACACACACAGCTGTTTGCTTTCAGCTAGCTTGCAATCTCACCATTGCTAGATCTAGCAACGGTTAGCCAAAATCAGATCTCAAAGCCAATTTGGCTTGAGCTTGGCTAAGCCTGGTGTGGTTGAGCTTAGCTAAGCCCAGTGGGGTTGAGTGTTGTGGCTGAAATCCTTAGCTCGAGCAGAACTAGCCACCAATACAGATGCTCTAATGTGATAGAATACTATGATTTTTGTGTATAAAATTGAGAAATAATAAGAAAAAATGAACACACCTGATTTTATGAATCCTATCACAGGGGTTCAAAATAGCTTCTCAGAAGAAACATTTTGAACAGTTGCAAGAAATTTCCAAACTTGTTAGATTGAGATTGTTTACACCTGAAATCCGAGAGGTGTTGGCAAGCAATACAAGACTTGCAATCTGACTATGGTTTGATGCACTAACAACATCTAAGCCATCTGTAGGCAAATCCAAGTTGAGCTGTTGAGGGACGATTTGACTTCCTTCTATGCTAAAAAGTTAAAGCCAAGCTGGATTGTTTTAGCCACATGAGAAGCAAAAAATGCCATGGTGAACCCTCCTGTTGAGCGGTTGCTTGTGGGATTATCCTCAAATTAAGGAATACACAATGGGGTTCACAATTGTGGTTCTTGGATGTCTGTCTTATTAAAATGGGTTCCTTGTTTGTTTGCAGCTCAGATGTTGGGTCTTGCTTGGAGCAAGTGTGTTTTTAATTGTTTTTAAGCTTGGCAGAAGGCCATGCTCTAGCTTAACAAAGCCTCTCCCGGGGCGTCCCTGCGGGACGCTCTCCGTAGGAGAGGCTTATGAGTCAAGGCAAAAATTTGGCTGGGACAGGAAAGCCTAATACCACATAATAATTTTTCTAAAAAAACCACTTACTTGACAGAAATTATGAATAGGCAGTTTTTTCAATCATCTCAATGAGCATTTGGGACTCTAAGTTTGATTTCCTTGTGGATCTTGGTCAATTGTTGTTTTGGGTTTTTGAGGAAAAATCATTTTTCAAAAAAATGTAGAAGGGGAACCAGGGCAAATGAAGGGATGAGACCACCTTCAAATGAAAGCTGGGACCCAAAACTACAATCTGGCTCTGAGCCAGGCTTGTAGAGGATTAGGATAAGGAGCCAGGGCCTTAAAAAATTTCACTCCAGCCATTTTTATTTCCTGTGCCAGCCCAAATTTTGACTTTGTACGCAATACGCAAGTCCCTCCCTGTGGGAGGGCGCACTTCACGTGCAGAAAAACCGACTGCAGGCAAGGGACTTGTGATAAGTTAGGGCCATGCTGATATGGAGCTGCTGGTTTGGGATCAACAGTTCTATGAGTACTGTCAATCATGAAACCGGTCATCTGAAAAAATACTATAACTTGCCTTAACAAAGAACATAAGAATCCAATGATTTCTGTTAATTTTTCATTTTTAATTACCTTATATTTGGCTGTAGAAGAAGAGAAATTTATATACATATATATATTTTGAAGTGATGTGTAGGTGGCATTGACAAGCTCTCTCTGATCTGATCACTGCTAATGTCTTTTTAAGTGCTAATTGAATTTGACATTTTGCACTGAGGAAATATGTATGTACTTACAGCTTACATAAGTGTACATGTATTCTGTACAGCATGCAGCTTTGATAAGTACATACAAATGAAAACACAGAGGACCGAAAACAGAAAAAAATTAAAAGAATGATCCGGAGATCACTGCTTGGCTCAGCCACCACCAACACTCGATCGATCAGCAACAGCCAAACCCAACAACACCTGCTTAATCAGCCAGCCCAGCACCCCCGCCTTCGATTATTGCAACTGTCGAGGAGGAGGACGTCGACTGGGAAGAGGATGTCGTCGATCACTGTCTCCGAGAAAGTCCAGCCTGAGCTCGATAAGGGCTTGGATTGTTGGAGCGTCTTTTCCCCTGCTTCTGGGCATATGCCTCCTGTTTGTTTCCCTCTCTCTCTCTCTCTCTCTCTCTCTCGTCTCTATAATGATAAAGAGATTGATTGGATGATTCTTTACTTCTTTAGGATTCTTTGAATCTTGGACAAGGGTTTATGAAGTATGTAATACAATCGATCGTTTGTGATTCATCTTTCTTGTGATCGAGGTATTGAATTCGTTTGTTGGATTGGTTCCCCCTTTAACTTTTAGTTGGGCCCCTCGTAAGCATCTGCAATAACCTCCATATCGAAAAAAAAAATCCTAAGATTTATCTTGATCATCATTAACAAGCAAAAAAAAGAGATGCAGATGGCTGACTGAGTTACTCTCTGGGATGGTAAACAACACATGACAGCCGAATTCATGAAAGAGGCGGCCAAGAACTCGATCGATGAGATCGCGGCGAACCATTACAGCATTCCCAAGGGAAGAGTCAACTTACGCAAAGCGATCTCGAAGCATTACTCCGAGAGCTTCAACTTGAACCGGGCGTTGGATTTCGAATCGGAGATCGTGATCAGCTCGGGTATGTGTCCATCATCATCATCATCATCATTCTCAGATCTCATAAACTAACATCTTGGCTTGTTTATATGAAAAACCGAAAGGCGCCAACTTCGGCATCTATGCGTCCTTGTTGGCCTTTTGTTCCAAAGACGACGAAGTGATTTTAATCGAGCCGTTTTTTGACCAATGTTGAGTCCCCATCTCTCATTATTTTCTTCAATCATTTTTATACTGTGGAATACAAGTCAATCTGATGTTACATGTTATGACTTGTGTTGGGATGAGATGAGAAAAGATATCCGGAACGTGACGTTCTGTGGCGGCAAGCCGGTGTATGTTCCGCTGCGACCGCCGAAGAATGCGGGGACCCAGAACGTGAGCAGCAAGGAATGGACGTTGGATATCGACGAACTCAAGGCCGCCTTGACTCCGAAATCAAAAGTCATGTAAGGAAAAAAAAAAACTATTGTTGTTTTTGGGAGTTCAGGATGGTGGATCTCACACCAGTTTCACTTCTCATCATCTGGTGGTCTGGTTTATTTTTTGTGTAGAATTATTAATACCCCGCATAATCCGGTCGGGAAGGTGTTCACGAAGGACGAGTTGAACGCCATTGGAAAGATCGCTGAGGAGCATAACTTATTCATCATAGCTGATGAAGTAGTTGAGTTTGAATTTCTTTTTTTTTTGTTTGATCTTTTGAAAACTTTGAGATGGATGAGGGATGAGGGTTTGAGTAGGAGAAAATTAAAGAGGGGAATGGATCCTGCACAAACAGTACGACTGCCTGACGTTCAACGAGCCGCACGTTCGAATTGCGTCACTATCGGAGAGATTATGGAAGCGGACGGTGACGGTGGGTTCGGCGGGAAAGTCATTTGCGGCGACGGGATGGCGGATCGGATGGTGCATCGGGCCCGCGGAGATCCTTCGGCCGATCACCGCCGCCATGACCCGGATCACCTTCTGCTCCGTCAGTCCGCTCCAGGAGGCCCTCGCCACTGGCTTCGAAATCGCCGGTAAAGAAAACTTCTTCGAGACTCAAAGGGCTCAGTATCTCGAGAGAAGAGACCTCTTGCTCCGGTTCCTCGATCAGCTTGGGTTGCCTTATACCGTGTAAGTCTTCTCTTTTTTTTTTCTCTCCCCCTATCTCTCTCGGTCGGTCTTCATGTTCATGATCTTTTTTGTTTTGTCGATCTTGATAACAGACCAGATGGTGTAAGTTTGATTCTTGTGATCATCGCCATCTTCTGAACCCTACCACATCAACTAATCCATTCTCCATCTCTTCTTTTTCAAACAAAATTTGAAAAAAAAACGCATTAGTCTTATTTCGTATTAGTTGAAACGACTAAAATCAAGATTCCAGAAGAGTTTGAGATTCTGGAGTTGATTAAATCCCGGTCAAGGGACTGGCACATGTGTTGGTTCATTGCCAAAGTAGCTGGAGTAGTCGTCAGTCTTTCCTTTTCTTCTTATTCTAAGTATGTAGATCAGACTGATTGACATTTGTCTTTTTGTTTTGTTAGTGCATTCCTCCCTCGGATTTCTACTCTTCGTGAGTTCCTTTGTCGCTTCTTGTTATGGTTTATCTTGCAGGAAAGATGTGGATGGTTAATTTGTGCTTGTTGGTTGGCTGGGTGATGGACCGGTACTTGTAGTGATCATGTCTCGATCGGCCAGAATTTTATCAGAATCGCTTTCTGTAAAGATCTTGAGTTGAGTGAAGATCTTACGGATTGAAATCTTTGCGTATCTGTTTCATCTTCTAATAAGCATTGCTAATGTTTTTTTTTGATGGTTCAATTTATGTAGCACTTTGAAAGAAGCTGGTCAACGGTTGCAGAAGTTGAAACCTTACATATCATGATCAACTCAATCCTGAAGTGTACTGTTTTATGATCATCATCATCATCTTGATCATGAACGTCTCTTTCCTAGCTAATGTTGGCTGTCATTTTAGATAAAGGATTTAACCTGCCCCATTTGATTCTTTTTTTTTCTTCCTCATGTTGGCTGTACATCATTTCTTTTCTCTGCTTGCTTGAAAAAAAAAAAAAACATGCTATTACCAAACAGAAGTTTTCTGACCAAGCTTTACTTAGGCCTCCTTGGCTGAGGATTTGCTGGAGGGACACCAATATGAATGCGAATAATTCCCGCAGCTTGAAGGTTGACATTGACGTGGTCTGGCAACCCAAGGCTTGAGTCAGATCTGACTCGTTTTCTAAAAATTGATTGTTCAAGTAACAAGATTGATGACCTAGGCCATGCAGCTCAAAACTTGATATTCCATCAAAAGAAGATACTATTACAGTGGTGGATGGTGTCAAACCAATCCTGCTTTTCTGAGGATTTCCAATTTTCTTGAGCTGGAAGATTCTTGTTTGATTTACAGGGTTTGGGCTTCATTTGAGCCCCCAGCATGCTGCAATTGATGTAACTATGAATGTAGAATAAACCCTCAAGATAGATGCTACATTTCCAACAGGAAATACCCAGGAGCAAGAGATTTGTGTAATTGAAAGATAGCCCATCCATCCTCAAAGGTTCATGTATAAAAAAATTCTTTTTTTTTGCCTGGGCTTTGATGAGGTTTTACTTGGAGCTATTTTTCATGGTTTCCAATTCTAAGGGAGGACATGGCCAGTTGTGGGGGTTCCATCACAATGTTGATTGATTTGATGAGCATTGGTGCAACCAGATTGCCAGTGCATGTTGAGTGTCTCAGTACACACTCCACAATATTCTCTCCGGCCTCTGCGCATGGCTGTACAAGTTTTGTGTGGTCCCAGTAAGCAATGAATCTGTTCACGACATTGGTAATTGGTAATAGGCCCCATTACCCATTGGTGTTGACATTCCTGATTAAGAGCATGAACCAACTGGGTATTGAGCAGGGCAACCGGTACCCACAAACATGTTGGGATGTGCATGTGTCTTGAAACAGGTTTTCCAAGAAAATTGAGAGGGATGGGGCTTGAACACAGGTTTGATGGGATATTTAATCAGTAGAATTGGATGAACAGCAAACCGCTTGGCCACAAAGCAGGTATCAACATTGGCCCTCATAATACTACTTAAAGGCTACTTCCAGTTGTGAGATGTTTATTAAATTTCAAACTCAGGATATTTTTGAATTAATTCTTTGTATGGCTAGTCAGGTTATAAACTTATCAGCCATAAAAAAGAGAAAAACAATACAAAATTTTCATATGTTGAGTATAAAATCATTTTCTATTCAAGTACTAGAGTATAAGGTGGCTCTACATTGCTCCACATTTGAGAGGTTTCCATGTGTTGAGATCACTTCCATTCCACTTCTTGAACATAGAGAATTGTTTACAATTGGGAGACTGTGAAAAGTGGCTGCTTATTTGGAATTCCAGAGCTCCAAAACACAGACTTAAAAAAGTCATGAGACTTGGTCAACTGGTGCAGAATAGGTCCAAAAAAAAATGAATGTCAAAACAAAACTTGAAAAATTTATGAAAAAAGAAACTAGAGGCCAAGCTGGTTTTGCCGTTGTAAAATCTTATCACCAATTCCATTTTCTTCACTTGATGGCCATATAATTTTAACCTCTGAACCCAGGATCACAGCACATTTCTCCCTTTGTAACAGTCTGCTTCTCTTTGGGACAACAATGGGCACACTTTTTGCCCAAAAGTAGTGTTTTTTTGCGCACAGAAATTGTGGAGTGTTAGAAAAAAGTCAGCAGTTTTTTTGCTAGGCTAACCGCTGATGGTCTCTACAGGTATAAAATGCCTCTAATCAGTGTGTTAGAGAAACTCCACAAGAGTCACTAATTTTGGGTTGCTATGTTCTCACAATAGCACCCAGAATTCAAGGTTTGGAGAAACAAAGTGCTGAGGCACACACCGGGAATTGTCAAGATGAAGTGACTATCTGGTGATGTGTGGTGTTTGGGGTTTACCAAAGGAACACAAAAGTAGACTGATCCTCCTTGCATCCAGATTCACTATCCAGTCTTCAAGTTTGAAGACTGGATAGAGATCAAGGAAGAAAAAAAAATGTAAAAAGGGACCTGGATGACAACTGGACAGGCAGTGTCTTTTTCAGGTTTGGGTTGCTAAATGTGGGATAGTGACCTGAAGAAATTAAAACCAGAGCATGAGGGAATTTTTTGGATAAAGGTGTTTTGGCCACAAAAATTATTTTTGTTGGAACACTCAGTGGGTCAAAAAATGAGGGAAAGAACCAATGGTGTTTTACTTAGAAGAGAAGAGGCATTAAGTAGTCTAAATACAAGAGGTTAAACATGTGGGTGAGACCAAAAGTGAATATGATAATGAATAAAAGGTTCTTTAAACATAATGTGAAGACAATAGGAGCAAGTGAATGTTGATAAAGACTAGACCAAGGTTTGAAGACTAATTGGATTTTAGCACTAGATAAATAAACAAAATGCCGCTCAATTTCTTGCAAAATTCAAACTACACCAATATTTATTATAAAATTACTGAGATCAATAAATGGTGAGAAATAGAATTTTAGGAATGAGGAGAAGAAAAGGACATAATTTCAGCATGACCCAATTTAGCAACCCCCATGGAGATGCTCTTAGCGCAGCATAGCAGGCACTTTTTGAGGGCCTGCACATGTAGTGTTGGTGTGGACACGGCGGAATTATGCTATGCTACACTAAATTTTAGGGGAATTCCGCTATGCTACACTAAATTTTAGCAGAATTCCACTGTGTTACCCTACACTAACACTATGGTTAGGGTAACTGGCCCACCATTGTTTGTGTAACTTGCCCACCATGATTTGTGATGAGTGATGCATCTGTCAACCTTGCACAAGAATTTTATAGATTTGATAAAGGATGGAGAGCTCCCTGTATTGATAGAGCAGAATGAATCCTTGAGAAGAAGTCTAACATCCCATGAGTTGCTTGCAATGCTTCACTGAAACTCATGAATGCATCAATTCAGATGGTTGGAATTCTGCCATTTCCCACTTTCTCTTCTTCTTCCCTGTCTTTCCTTTCATTTCTCCCCAGATGCAACAAGGGACCAGTTAAGCTAACTGTAGATTTAGCACATTGTAGTGTAGCATAACGTGCTAACATTTAGCATAGTGCAGCACAACTGGGCTATTGCTATGCACACAGGCCACAAAAAAGGGCCCACTAAGCTGTGTTACAGTGCATTTTAGTGGTTTTTTTGGCTGTTGTTGCCGCCAAAAGGGACCAACAGAGCGCTAACACTAAAGTGTTGGTGTACTGTTTTGAGGGCTGCTACACCTATGAGTTAGACAAGCTTCATAGAATAGTGATGAATCATCTGCCTTCTGCAAGCATTTTCCCTTGGGTCACTAAGATATACAACCTCTTGTAGTGTGAGCGCTTTTTTGTGATGTTGTTTTCACCATATCTACAAGATGTAAGGAGATAATAAGAAAATTTTATAGTTCCTGCGTAGAAACACTGGAATTACTACTACACTGGCACCTGTGGGCAGTACAGGACTTACACTTACAGGAGGTGGACACTGCGGTTGACACTTCTGATAGCTTATATTCATTTCCAACTATTGCAACAATCCACCAAATTTTACCCTGTTTCACTTTTCACTTTTCTTTTTCTTTTCCCTTCTTCATCTTCCTCTTTCTCTTTCCTTGAGACCTTCCTATACCACTTGTTCCACACACCAGGTTTGCTCAAATTATTATTGGAGCAAAACACAACCAACAAGCCTCTGTTGATGGACTAAGGGCTATGGTGGTGTCTTTTGGCTGAGACATAGTCTTGACCAAAGGAGAAAAGGGTCCTGTTGAACAATCCTGAATATTAACACTTCTTGATCAGAACATCTGCAATTCTGGACCAATTTTACAAAATGTTTTTTCATGCTTTTATTTTCAGGAGCATTCTTTGAAGACTTGTTGATGCCACTTAATCAAGCTGCATCACTCAAATATTGTGGGCCGAATTTCTGGGATGAGAAACAATGTTCCAGTGATTTTAAGTAACCCACTGTACATACTGTTCCTGCACTTGCTAACATCTCCTTAGACATCACATCAAAAATCCACCCCAAAGATTCATGACAACTCCAAACCTCCTCAATCAAGAAAATTTTGAACTCAAAAGTGGTATTTTGATGACCTATCGACCTTGATCGGGAGTTTTCTGTTCGGTGAACAAAAAACATCGTGTCTCAAAGTAGCATGTCAAGTGAGAATCAGATTGAAATGGAACAAAAAGGACGATGCAGGGATGGGAAATTTGCCTATTTTCGCTGATCAATCAGGGGGAGGGTACGGTTAAAGGGAGGAGCGAGAGGGAGCGATTGTAGCTTCGAAGCGGGGGTCGTCTTCGAGGGAAGCATGAGTAGGTCTAGGTTTCCGACGGCGATCAGAGGAGCGGGAGGTGAGTCGAGAGAGGAGGAAGGAGTTACGGAGACGCCAGCGAGCGAGGCCGAGCTGGTCGGTCCGATAAAGCGCGCCGACGAGGATGCCGACCAGACTTGAAAGTGGATTGAAGAGCCCGAGAAGAAGACTGAGGATGTCTGGAACAAGGCTGTGCGAGTCTAAGTGCACTCGCCCGATTCGATAGTCGTATAGTGACGGTACTATGGCGTGGTGTTGGTACACTATCGCAAACGTCACCATGAACGGCCCCGATGGTATCGCCCTACATTTCCCCCAATCATCCCGTGAGTTTGTTTGCTTGCTTAACCACCTCTCATTAATGGCTGCGAGTGGCGAGTTACTGACCGGTATCCCATTATACTGTGGCTTATCAGTAAGCCCATCAGTTCTAGTAGAGACCCAACGACAACCGTGACAATCAAATAGCTCTGAGAAAATGGAAAAAAACGGGTCAATGAATCCTCTCTTTTGATGGTTATCATAAATACCTTTTTCGAAGTTATTTTTGTCATTGTGAGTAGAAATAAGACGAAGGAAATGAAATGAAAATGAAAAGACGGACAGCATACTTCACTGTTCCGAATCGTCGCTCAACGGTCACCGACACATTCCATAGGATTAGGACTATTAGGAATAGATCTGCAGAGTTCGAGCAAGCAGTATGATGAGTCAAAATTCTCCAAAACTGTCTCCCCACCAACATCCCCCACCAAAATAAACAAAAAACAAAAAAAGAAGAAAATTAATGTTTTGGGAACTTTGTGTGTTGTTGGGATTATAATCAAGTTCAGCTTTTTTTTGGTATGAGAGAATTGAGGTTTTTTTGTTTAACAAGCTTCAAGTAATTGATAAAAAAAAACTCAATGATACAGATGTAGCAATAAAAAGAAAAAGAAGATGAGAAGGAGGATGAAAAGGATGAAAAAAGAAACTGACTTGAAAATCTCTAGTGAGATGAGGCGTGAGTGGCAGATCGAGATAATGTTTATGTCCGGAGAGAAGCAAGGAAAGGATAGAGGTTCCGAAGATGATAACTAAGGAGAGATAGGCAGCCGATCGGGGAAAGGGATAGAAAGAAAGAGCAGTATCAGCATCAAGCGTCGCTTTTTCTCATAGATTAAAAGGGATGATCGATTGTGAAGGGATCTTACTTCTGGATAAGGGAGCATGGGCAAAGGTCGATGAGGCACCCATAATCGCCAGGAGAACGTTCTTGATCTAGTTCTGTATCGTCCAGGTCCTGATCGGCTCTTGTCTTGTATTACGCTTCGTTTCTCCGTCTCTTGGTTGTTCAGTCTTGGTTATTTCTGGATCGATTCGATTTTAGTGGATGAAAGCCGATGTGGTAAGCTCTGATGTATGAGTTGATGGCCCCCGAACCAACAGCTTCCCCCCGATCGGGTACTCCATGGCCACGTGGAAGATGGCTTCGGGCCGGGGGAGGACTGACAACCAGGTGGTGGTGGTCGGCCTCGCCGCCTCAGTGAGCAACTGATACTAGACAATTCAATCCATCAAAAATGTGTCTCTTCAGATATTAAGGAGCTGATCTGGAAATTGGTGAATCTGGCTGTGCCCATAGGTGACTCTCACAAGTTGAGATGCCCTCCCAATGAATGACAACTGGCTTCATGTAATTTGTAGACATATACAAAAATTGAAGGTTGCAGGTTAGTTACATTAAGAGGCCCAATTAGCAGATCAAGAAATCCATGTAAAAACATCTCAATGGATGATTGTCTGGGATTGTTTTAAGTAATATGAAAAAAAAAAAGTGTTTGGTGCCGGGTTTTTGATGATTTTACATAGAGTGGTTGGGTTTGTGTGAGTTTAAATCATCTGGGCTGTTTGTTCATTGAGGAGGGTTATGGCCGGTTTGGAGAGTGCCATCACAATTATTGACATGTGGATGGCTACTGCATTGGCTGCGCCAGGCAACCTGGCCTTCCTGGCCACAGACTGTGCATCTTGCTACCCTGCATTGATGTTGCACTTCACAATTTTTGTGGTCTCCCCATCTGCAATTGATGACTTGGGTACATGGTCGAACGGTAGGAGCACCCCATTGAAGGTTGCATTGGTGGACTGCATCAGCCAGCTGGATATTGAGGAGGGCTGCCAGTACCCATACAGAGTTGAGAGTGCGCATGTGTTTTGAAACAGGTTTCTTGTTTAGGATGCCAAAGATGGGGGTTGAACACAGGCTGCGTGATAAGTACCAGTTGCAATGGACAAAGTATACCACTGAGCCACAAGGAAGACAATGATTGATAGCCACATGCTTGTATATAAAGGCCCCTGAAAAATTCAAAAAACTTTTCAAATCCAGCTTCCAACTAATAGAATGCCTGTAAATAATTTGATCCTGTCTTTTATCATCTACTGAATTAGAAACCATGAGTTAGCAAGATCATTCAAAAAAATTCTGCTTCAAAGAAAGTTTGTAGTCTGAAAACTGAATAAATATGAGGGTAAGGATTTTTAAATGTTATTGCCAGCTAAAGATTCTAATCATTGTGTTAGTACAGTATAGCATAGCGGAATCCCACTAAAAACAGTGTAGCATAGTGGAATTCTGCCACATCTGCACTAAGTGTCAGTATATGTGATGCCAAGAGCTTTTCTCTTCTAGCTACAAAAGGTGCAAGGTTGAATAGAGGTGTGAAAAAGTGGGATTTAGTAATAAGAAGAAGATGAGAAATGAAAACTATCAATTTTTTATTTACAATGGGGCCTGAGTTACAGGGGTACAGGGGTATTTGGAAGTACCTGATAGTCTGGTACTTTATAATAAAGGAGTTTTACCAGAGAAAAGCCTACAACTGAAGTGATCAGGAAATCATACTTACTGATACTTATTTCCAAGCCGAGGGGAACTTCAGGAGGGAAGAAAATAGTCTGAAAGCTCTCAGAAAAACTGGCTAAGAGGTGTTGGGAAAGTGCTGGGGAAAAGTTGTTGGTTGTTTGGTTTATATTCAGGTTAGAGATTTTTTGTTGGTACCCTTTGCTAGGTACCTGGCACTGCTTGGCGGGTCCAGGAGGTGCCAGGTGTCTGTTTTTTGGGAAAAAAACAGGCAGTACCCAGGTACTGCTACGGATACCGCCCCACTTCCCTAACATGGGGTAGGGGGGGTGGCTTCAAGAATTTTACAATCTTGAAGGCCAGGAGGGAATCTCCAGGTTGTCAAGACTGTACAGTCTTGATGGCTGGGAGGTTTCTTCCTGGCCCTGGTAGTGAAAACCGTACATATCTTGATGGCTGGGAGGCATTCCTCCTCTAACTGTTAGAATACTCACATATGCTTACATTCATATGCAATATGCTTCTACTATAGTTGTACTTGTGGTGGTGTTGTTAGTTTGACTCATGCTCAGTTCCTAGTCTGGCTCCTTCTGAACATCATCATCATCTTCCATGTGTCACCAAACTGTCACAAGACTTTTGTCTGTGACGTCAGTCCTGCAACCCTGTGCCCCTCAACAGGTTATGATCCATAGTCACTGCAGCTCCCATCACCTTTTCAATTAAAAGCTTACACGATGCCATACAGGACAACTCAGAACCCCTCTCTGCTCATATGTACCGTCGGTCCCTCAACTGGACGTAAACTTGGTAATGTTTACCTCTTGGCGGTCCTGACTCAAAGGCGTACTTGCAATCCAGGGGGTGCTGGATATCGTCCAAGGGAAGATCCCTCGTCCGCCAGCAGAATCATCTGACACTAAGCCAATTGTTTGCACCAGGAGCAGCTGGAATCCGGAGGATTTTTTCTCGGACTGGGACCACCTCTCAGATACAGCTTGCTTGACTATAAAGCTTACCCTATTGGTTGACCTATCTATCCAATATTGCAACTTGAAACCAGCAAGCAAGCTATACAATGCAATAGGGGGGTTCACAATTGAACTTTAGAGTGATTTTTAAGGTGTTTATGAGCAACATTTTATGATTTTTTTGAGTTTTTCCAATTTACTGGTTTCTGAACCTTCTGTACATCACAAGAAATTTATAAATTTATTATCAGAAACACCTTAAAAATGGCCTTAAAGTTCAATCGTGAACCCCCCTATTACTGGATCAACAAACTCAAGCTTCAAATAGTAAAAGAAAACAAGCTAAATATGTAAAAAACTGTAATGACTAAAGAGTATGCCATGAGATATGCTAATAATGAGAAAATGAGAAAGAGAGAGCTGAAACACATGAATACTAACAACATATGCAATATGCTTCTACTATAGCTGTACTTGTGGTGGTGTATTTAGTTTGACTCATGCTCAGTTCCTAGTCTGGCTCCACACTGAACATCATCATCATCTTCCTTGTGTCACCAAACTGTCACAAGACTTTTGTCTGTGACTTCAGTCCTGCAGTGCAACCCTGTGCCCCTCAACACTAACTTAACCCAAGTCCCTCAATTAGAGATGGGCGCGCCGCATCCGGATATCCGTTCGGATTCGGATATCCTCTCACCATTTCAGCGGAATTGGACATCCGCATCCGCATCCGCATACGCTGGCGGATACCCGCCAGCGTTGGCGGGTATCCGCGGCGGATTATCCGTGAACATCTCTACCCTCAATTGGAGGGCCTGGTACAGCCAGTCTGGCGCAAAGTGCCCCTTGGAAGCAAGCCTCTGAAGGAGGGAGGTGTGAGTAAATTCAGAATGTTTGTGTGGAGGTTGGGGGCAGTTGGTAGGCAAAAAAATTGCCCTGGCAGCAGTTAGTAGGCAAAAAGATTGCCCTGGCATTTGCCTCTTCTTCCACATGGAAATTTCATATGCCGTTTGGACTAGTGCAAAGGTCTGCTTCCTCTGAAAGTTTGGGTCTTGACCACAAGTCTGGGTGCCCTCTGGATTTGGGCCCACCTGCCATTCAAAATGGCCATTTTGCTTTGAGGTTGAAGAAGGCCCTCAATTTACTTCCTCAAAATTCCCTCAGATTCTGACATACTTATGTGTTGACAATGCCTGTATCTGCCTGTACCTGTCACATACAATTGGTATTGATTGATTGACAATACTTCATTCGCCATCTGTAAGCTATGTCTTGTACCACTTGATATGGAATAAGCTCATTTTCAGCTGGATTTGCATCCCTCACTTTCTCTCCAAAGGATGGATAAGTGATCACAACAAATATTAAAAAAATAATACAGGGCATTAAATCACATGCTCACGTATGTGACAAACTTAGCTGCAGCCCTTTTGGTTGGATGGGCCAGGAGCAATGGACATTATAGTGGAAAATACCAATGAAAAGCCACAAACTGTACCAGCTTCCAGGCCAAAACTTTGACTTCACTCATAAGCCCCTCTTTCAGAGGCTTGTTTGGCAAGTTGCCTTTGGCTCTCTGTCAAGGGGATTTGTTAAGCTAGTTCCTCCTGGACTTTGAGACTTGTGCAGTCTTGACAACTAGGAGGAATCCTCCTGGCCTTCAAGAATGTACAAGTCTTGAAGGCTGGGAAGAATCCCCCTGCACTTTGAGACTATACAAGTCTTGAAGGCTGAGAGGAAACTAGAGATGGCCCCGTTGCATCCGGATATCCGGGCAGATTGGGATATCCCCTTGCTTTTTCAGCAGAACCAGACATCTGAATCTGCATCTGCATCCTCTGGCAGGTATCTGTTGGCCACAGTGGGTATCTGAGCAGGTATCCACAGATATCTGCCCCTTAAATCATGCCAAGGGTGCAAAATGGAAGTCCCTTGGGAAATTTCAGATGCAGAGAGCTGCAAAAACAGGACTTTTGAAGTCCCTGCAGCCTACAAGCCTTCAATTTATTTATTGATTTTTTGCTGCTTGCAGCCTGTGACCCCTCCCAAAAATATGGAAAAAGTCATACTTCTTTTTGCTTGCAGCCTGCAACCCTCCCAAAAAATGCAAACAGTTGACCTTCTCCAAGTCTAGTGGTTGGAGGTCCACAATGGTATACAGCATAGATCTGATATGGCTGTGGGTGTGCTAATTGGTCAGAGTGGGTTGTCAGCAGAGGCCTATGTGTTGGCCGTCAACAAGGAGATATGCCCAGCAAAGGATTGGACAAGTTGTCAAGGAGAGAGGCTGTGCAACGCAGCCCGCAGACACCACCGCGGGCCCAACAGGTCAGATATGGATGGGTAATCCTGGAGATACCGGGATATCCGCTAAGATTTTGAGGAAAATTGGACATCTGCACCTGAATCCTCTGGTGGGTAACCATTGGCGATGGGGGGTATCCGCCAGTGGATAGCGGGTAGAATGTGACTGGTTTTTATTGGTCTTACCACATCGGCATCTGGTAGAACCACAGTAGCATTGAGTGTTCATCCCCCTGCATGAGAATTTGATTTTGTATCCACCTGTTCTGTTTTAAGGATGCTTGGATTTAATCATTAGGGGGTATCAAATATAACCAAATCCACCATCATTTAATTGACTGGTTTGAATAATCCACCCTTCTTTAAACATGTTGGTTCTTCATTTAACCCCTTTTGCAACGGTGGGCCAGCTACGCTAACCGTAGTGCTAGCGTAGCAAAAAACCGCTACAAATTAGCGTAGCGTTAGCACTTTTCTCATTTTCTGCGCTAACGCTATGCGCATGGGGAAAAAAATTGCGCTAACGTTTAGCGTAGCGTTAGCGCGATTCCCCCCATCTGCGCTAACGCTACGCGCGCAGGGCGCAAAAAACCGCCCGCTACACTGCGCTACAGCAGTTTTTAGCGGTTTTTAGGCGGTTTTTGCTGCTAAAAACGCTGTAGCGTAACGCAGCGTAGCGGCGCCAGAGGTGCGCTAACACTACACCAAAACTTGGCTAGTGTTAGCGCCGCTACAAATTAGTGTAGCGCAGCAGCCGGAGCGGCGCGCTAACACTACACAAAAAAAGGAATTGTTGGCGCTGCTACACTAACACTACATGGGCCTGTAGCGTAGTGTAGCGTAGCGGCCCACTGCTGCCTTTTGGGGCCCATTGAAGCAAGAATTGTTTTTGAGAAAAGTGACTGGTTTCTGATGGTGGATTTCCTATATTTGATACCCCCTATTGTGTGTTTTGTTTGTCTGAATCATGATATCATGATCTTTGGAGCCAAGATTTGTCCCTTCACACCAGGTACAAACAACTGGTAGGGGATGTCCTCACTGGGCAAGACTGGAGCTGTTTGCACAGTGAGCATGAATTGGAGCTCATACATAGACTGGAACCAATTCTGGATTGCTTCCCCTTTGCAAGTTCCTTGTGGTTCTAACTTTTCTGCAACAAGGGGATTGGGTTAGGCTTGCCACAAACGGCAAGATCAAACAGCAGCTTGCTAAATGCATTTGGAGATCAAACCATCAATGTGACCCAAAACAAAAAAAGGGATAGCCTTCTTCCAGCTGGATCATGCATGAGTCTCAAGAATGAAGAGCTGTGAGAGGTCAGGGTGCAAATGGGCCGGGCTCAGGCCAAAATGTGCTGCCCAAACCCGACCCGCCTCAAATGGCGGGCGGTCCCGTGCCGGGTTCCTTTAGAGAACAGTGTGACCAGACCCGGCTGCGGGCACAAGCAGCCCGGGCTCGGGCGGCTACGGGATGGGTGGCGGGCGCCCGGCTGCTTCCCGGCCTTCACATATTTGTTTTAGGCTGGAGGGGGTCTGTCATTCAGGTTGTGCATTTCATCGGATAGGGGTAGGGGTAGCTAGCTTGTACTATAGTAGGACCAGGGGGGGGCACGTATGGATAGAGCATGGACAAAAATAGAAAGATAAAAATCCCGAAAAACAAGTAACCTACTCCTCCTCATCAGGCTCGTCATCGTTGATGGGTTCGTTCAACCAGTTTTGGCCACAGATTAACACCTCTACCATGGCAGGGGCAAGCCTGGATCGGTAGTCGTTGAGTACTCGGCCACCAGTTGAGAAAGCAGACTCGGAGGCTATTGAGGTCATTGGGACCATTAGGATGTTCTTTGCCATCCGTGCAAGGTTAGGGTACTGGTTTTCGTGATCCTTCCACCACTTGAGAAGGTTGAAGTGAGGTGGCCCCGATGATATGGCCACGGTTGGCTGTTGAAGGTAGAGATCAAGTTTGGCTGTTGGGGAGACTTTGTGGGTCAAGGTTTTGGCGGCAAGGTACTTCTTGAATTCACCATCGGGATCCGTTACGAGACACTGAATGTCGTCATCTTTGTCCAGCGAGGTTGTGGCTTGAACGGTTGGTTCGTTGCTTGTGTAGCTGGTGAACCAGGTGTAAAGCGTCTTCTTGATACTAGCGACACTCTCCTCGGCATCATCGTCGCCAAGATCCTTGGCAAGGAGGAAGATCAGGAGCTCGGTCTTGTAGTGTGGGTCAAAGATGAGGTTGATTGCGGCAAATTCCTTCATCGGGGCCCAGTACTTATTGAACTTGACTTGCATCGGTGCAACAATGTTGATGATGTGTTTGTTCTTGCTGCTGTGGCCATTGGCAAGGCACTTCTCAATGGCCTTCATGTTCTTGTAAACGAGATGAGCGGTCGGATAGATAGTGCCCCCAAGCTCCAAGGTTGCTGATAAGAGCCGTTTGAATTGTTGGTCAGTTCCTGTCCTCAGCAAACAGTTGATTTCGACAGACTGAGGCTTACCGGTCTCAAAGATCTCAAGGAATTTGGCCATTGTTTCGAGTTGAATCCACTCAGCATCCGAAGGGCACTTCGTATAGTTAGCATCGTGAATCGCCAGGCTGGAGTAGGCAGCTTTGTAGGGTAATGAAGATCGAATCATTTGAAAAGTTGAATTCCAACGGGTAGGTACGTCAACCGATGGCCACGCCTTTTGTGTGGTGTTGGACATCTTCAAGGCCTCCACAAATGCGGCCCTGCGAGACGGCGTCAATTTGATGTACCGAGTACTCTCGCGAAGTTTGTCGATGGCTGTGCAGGTGGTATTGAGCCCGTCCTTGACAACAAGGTTGATCACATGAGCCGAGCATCGTACATGGAAGTACTTTCCATCCATGTCAAGGCCAGGACCCGGCTGCGAGTTGAGGATTGATCGGACTCGATTCAAAGCAGCATCGTTTGAACTCGCATTATCGACCGTCATGAACGCAACTTTACCCATTGCCTTCCATTCAGCAATGGTGGTGAGGAGCTGCTCGGATATGGCAAAGCCGGTATGAGGCGGTGGTAGAACTTTAAATGAAATAATTCGTTTCACTAGGGTAGCTTCAGGGGAAACATAGTGAGCTGTGATGACCATGTAAGGGGTCTGCTTGGAGGAGGTCCAGAGATCAGTTGTCAATGCGATGCGGTCGGCCTGATCAATCTCTTTGGAAACCTCGGTTTTGAGCCTATTGTACATGGCGACTATATCTGATCGTGCGGTGGTTCGAGAGTGAAAAGCGAACCTTGGCTGTAAAGAGTGTACAAACTTGCGGAGGCTTGGCCATTCGGCAGACTTGAATGGAAGCTCGTGGGCAACCTGCATCTCGCTAAGGAGGGCTCGCAAACGTTTTTGATCGAACGTCCACATTGGGTCGACAGGTACCTGACCCTTCTTGGCGAAATTGAGGAGAGGCTGTTTTTGCTTGTCTTTGGCGTCTTGGCAGGTTCGGAAGTGTCGCCAGAGATGGTTGGTGCCGCTTGAACTTTTGGCTGTCAATGACTTTTTGCAGTACTTGCATGCAGCCTTCAATTCATCACCTAGACCATTCGGCAATCCAAAGAATAGTCAGTGATTTTTGTTTGTTGCTAATCCTACCTCATCATCCAAGTCAAAATAAGTAAAGATATCCATACCTTGGCCAGATTGGACAAAATTAGCCCAGATGTCGCTAGTGGTCTTCCTACGGTTATCTTCGGAGTTGCTAGATTGGGTAGCAGTAGCAGGTTGGGATGATGATTGGGGTTGAACGGTGGTGGTTCCTGGTGAAGGTTCAGCTGGCTGGAGTTGGGAGTTGTCCGTGGTTGAAACAATGGCAATATCCACTTCCGATTGTGAGTCCGACTCGGAAGTTTTGATATTGGACTGGGTGGCCGTGGAAGACTTGGTGGGTTTGCCGGTACGAGTCCTCTTCCTAGCAGCCATGATATCAATATTGATCGGTTGGTTGATTGGGGATATGATATGGAAAACTAATTGAACGGCAGCTGATATTTCACAACCATGCCGGGTCAATCCGGGCTCCATGGGCTAGCCCGGGACCCCCCGTGCACTGCCCGCGCCCGGCCCGCCGCCCAGGTTGGGCACTTGCGGGCCGGGCGCAAAAAAACAAAATTAGCAAAAAGGCTGCCCAAACCCGCCCCAAACCCGAGGTGGGCCCGGGCGCCCGGTGGGCAGCCCAAGCCCACTTGCACCCTGAGTGAGAGGGTGCACCTATTCCTCTTGTTTCTCAAATGACTATAAGTATTTCCAAGTGGAAATACTGTCTATATTATAAGAGAGTAGGGGTAGTGCATCTTACAAGAAGATAAACTCTTGAAAGGATTATAATAAGAGTTATGATTTTATCATAAGACTCGAATAAGAGGATAAACAAAAAACAGAAATATTGTGATAAAGAAACAAAAGGAAAAGAGCAAAACAAAGAAGAATAAGAGTTTGAGATAAATGGAGGACTTGACGTTGCGATTTAGAATGCTTTTTAGACCTCCCTCATTCCTAAATTAACAACATGATCAAGATTTCAACCAGCTCACATGAGAGCTGTTTCTGGAAGGCTTCAGAAAAACAATCTTTTAATACGAAAACAATGAGTATTTGCCATTAATAATGACTTGCCTCTCATGATTCCATATTTAAAGAGCTGCCTAGAATTCCAAAGTTACAAACTGGTCTGGAGGGACTTGCACACATAAGTAGATGGTGCCAAGGCTCGGTCATTCGCCATGTCCCAAGTGCCATATAAACGCGGGTGTCGGTGCCGACTCGGCCTTTGTTTATCGGTGGCTAGCGGTGGACATGCTCGGTTTGATTGAGCTAGGAACAAGTTGGTAATTCTGCCCGATGAGACCGGCTTGCCAGCAGGACCTCATGGACCGGTAGCTGCCAATGTCCCAAGCCTGCCTCTTCTCTAATCTAATAATTAGGGTGGTTCTCTCCTCGACACACCGACGGCCAATGACTGGCACACTGTGTAGACACCCCGGTATCGGAGACCACCCATTTGATTTCTCATCTCACCACCGATCGGCCATCAGATTGCAAGATGCATGCAGAAATTGCCATCCTAGTTGAAAATGGGGAAATTTATGCTTGCAAGCTTTGATTAAAGCAAGTGCAGTACACCCTGTACAAAGTAGAAGATGGAAAATGGTTTCATTGTACACATTTTATGTATGCAACACAGCAGAACCTTCTACTACAATAAAGATCCCTCCCCCAACATAAACCCTCAATGGACAAACCGACTTCCCCACTTCCACTGATCCAATCGAACATGTAAATTCAAGCATATCGTCAAGATTGAACATCAGCAGGAATAAATGTAATGTGTAAATCCATATCTTTTGATACACTTATCGGCCGAGTTGTTGCCCTGGTGGATGAATGATGGTCCTTCGACTTGGTCTTGATTGAAACTCACTCCACAATGAGTTAGAGTTCAGGCTCAATGTCTTTGGCAGAAGAAGAAGTCCAAAGATACATAAAATAAATATTTATATTTCTTCTGCAACAAATTCTCGATCAGCCAGTCTTGTACCCAGAGCTGTTCGAGTATGGCCAGCAACGATTCGAGCGGGCAGCGGCTACACAGCACTCCTCCCGCCACAACCACTACGACCATCGCTCAGCCGTTCACCCCGGACCAACTCCGGCTGATCCACGCCATCCTCGACACCGTCTTCCATGCCGAACCCACAGCCTCGTCGGCCGAAGCGGAAAGCGCAGGACAAGAGCCAAGGAAGCAGCAGAATACAGCAGCACGCAACCAGCTGTTTTCGGCCGATTTCTCATCCCTTCCCGACTTCACGCTTGCCGATTTTATCGGCTATGTATTAAGCAGTTTGCGGCCAGCCGAACTGGACAAGTTCCGGCTCGGCCTAAGCTTCCTATCCAGTCGACCGATCACCTTTGCGCTCACCGGACACTATGCCACTTTCCTCGAGATCCCCGTCGACGAACGAGCGCGGATCTTAGCCGGCTGGGCTTCGTCAACCTTTGCCCTCAAACGCTCTCTCTTCTCGGCATTCGTCAGACTGCCGATCTCGGCCATATACTCCAACAGCAGACTCGTCCAGGCTCTCATTGGCTTCCCTTCCGACGGCGATCCCCGCGCTTCGAGCCTCCCCGAGCGTCGAAAACCTAGCTACCCCTACCAATTCATCCAGCCCCCCCTTCTTCTAGACTCCAATCTTCCTCATCCCTCCGCCCGTCTCGAGCTCTTCGAAACCGACGTCATCGTCGTCGGCTCAGGCGCCGGCGCCTCCGTCGTCGCAAGTCTGGTCGCTAAGGCCGGCTACCAAACTTTGGTCATCGAAAAGGGAAGATGGGTGCCCACTGAGCAGAGTAAGTCTCTCCCACACTTATATCACCTCCCCTTTTAATATTCAGAATATCTCCGTCACATTTTCGTATAAATAGTCGAATAAGATTCATTGAGATTAATCAGAGTGTTTTTTTTTGGGTCATCAGTTACTGGCTCTCATCACGGCTTCAATGATATGCTCGAAGGAAACGGCCAGATCAGTACCTCTGATGGGAATTTAATTCTCTTACGTAAGCAATCACCACTCACAACACCATTTTTGTCCGAACAACAATCCATAATGGAGTTGCTAAATTTATCCAATTGATGATACATGACTAGTTGGGTCGACGTTTGGAGGAGGCACGACGGTGAACTGGTCCGCCTCTCTAGCGCCCCCGTTCCATGTGCGACGAGCATGGACGGAGGAACACGGGCTGACGTACTTTGGCACCGATGGATTCGCCGAGGACATCCAGGCCGTCTGCACTCGCATGGGCGTCTCGACCTCCGCAATCGTCCATTCTAAGGCTAACCAACTCTTCTTGAAGGGCGCTCGAACACTCGGGATCCATGTCGATCTGATCCCCCAAAATACCGCAGGCAGGGCCCATGATTGCGGGATGTGTCAGAGAGGATGTGCGTGTTTTTTTTTCCCAAGTTCACTTCTACATTAATCAAGCTTCTCCAAGATAGAAAGAAAAATGAAACCAAAATCGACTATTTGTTTATAGGTCCGTTTGGAGAGAAACAAGGGGCGGCCCAAACCTGGCTAAAGGATTGTGCAGAAGCCGGCGGGAAATTCATGGAGAGAGGAAAAGTGGAGAGAATCTTATTTTCGGAGGAGGCGAATCCTGGGGAGATTGAGATTGATTTGAAGCGCAGCACTCCTAGCAGTCGACGCCGCCATGCGGTGGGAGTGATAGTGTATGATTCGCGGAGCGGGAAGCGGGCGGTGATCCGTGCCCGTCGAGCGGTGGTCTGTGGCAGCGGAGCCATCAACACTCCCGCCCTCCTCCTGCGTAGCGGCCTGAGACTAAACGGCGCCGTCGGGAATGGCTTGCATCTCCACCCAGTCACCGCCGTCACCGGATGGTTTGACGCCCCAGTCAAACCGTGGGAGGGGAGTATTATGACTCTGGTGAGCATCTTTGAGCTCATTATCTCCCCTGGTGAAGATTGCTCTGCCAGAAAGTAAGACTGATCGAATCTGGCATCCAGATCTCATGCGAGCTCGAGAACCGAGAAGGCACCCATTACGGCTGCAAGCTCGAGGTGTTTGCATCCAATCCGGGCTTCTATGCCGGGCTCTTTGTCCCATGGCGATCGAGTGGGGCGCACAAGGCCTATATGAGTCGATATGCGGAGAGCTTTACGATTGTTGTTCTCTCGCGCGACCGGGGAGCGGGGCGGGTGTCATTGGAGCCCGGGACGGGCGAGCCGGTGATCGACTATCCGCTCGACCCTTTCGACGCCGAAAGCCTCCTCGAAGGGATCCTCGTCGCTTGTCGCACCCTTCTGGCCGCCGGGGCGACCGAAATCGCTACCACTCTGCCCAATGTCCAACATTTCTTGGCGCCCCCTTCTGCTACCACTGGTCTCGATCTTCATCATCGATTCGAGGAATGGTTGGCCGAGATCAGCGCGATTGGGGTCAAGCCCGGATACGGCGTCCTTGGCTCAGCCCACCAGGTAAGATTCACCCGCTCTGATCACATCTCTCTTGCTTTCTTTGGGGGGGACTGGGTGAAACTTATATCTCCGTTTTTTTCGCGTGTGGATCTTGTAGATGAGTTCCTGTAAGATGGGCAGTAAGCCCAGCAAAGACTCGGTTGTGAATGAGAAGGGCAAGGTATGGGGCCACGAGAAGCTGTGGGTGGCCGACGGCTCGGTGTTGCCTACAGCGACGGGCGTCAATCCATCTATCTCAGTTCAGTCCTCCCTCCTGAATCATCATCCGTTCATTTTTTTTTTCTTCTTCTTCTTTCAAGCAGAGAAAGACTGATTGGTGATCGACTCTCTTTTAGATCATGAGCGTCGCACATCATATCGGGAACCAACTCGTCAAGGACTTGAAAGACGAAGAAACGGCGTCTGATAGACCCGTTTCCTCTAGGCTTTAATCGGCACTTTCACCATCTATTTTCTTTGTTATTCAAACCAATCAAGCCCTTATATTATTACTGGTCTATTTATTCTGATCTAGTTATTTTTTTTTCCATGTTCTTATGCTCTACATCTGCTACTAGCAATCTGGCCTGTCATGATGATGACCGGCCAAGAACACAAACATATAGCTCGCTCAGAACCCCTCCATATACGTAGACTCTCTTCCTCTCTCCCATTGATTTTTTTGTTTTGTATATCTAATGACATAACGCACACGAAAATTGAAATAAGTCTAAAAAATGAATGAATGAAAAAGAAATCAGTTGGATGGATAGCTTATGGATCAATTGAGGAGAAAGACAGGACACTGTATTGCGGGTTCTCGATATGACAAACAATATTGGCTGCTCATGTCCATGACGAATCCACTAGTGACTCCAAATTGCCAAAACTGTGCTTATATCTAACTTTAAAAGGCCCTCTGAATTCAGAGGGGGGGGGGCGACTTTTAAGTTTTATTGGGACAAGGGGCTTCAATGAAACTCATGTTGAGGCATCCTTGCCACCAGCTGGATCTTTGTTTGTGTTGAAGTTTACCTGAGACCATCCTCCCTCTTAAATTGATCCGCCAAAAGCAAACACTTTTCTATAGGACAAGCTTGTTTTACTGCTGTGGAGAACCCCAGGACTCCGCTCAATATGAGTGATTTTACTGGGCTTGGGCAAATTCAAGTCTGCCCATGTGCACAAGAAAGCGGCAGAACTATGTACACTCTTGAACTTGGCTCAGTCCCTCGAGTTTACGGAGGAGAGAGCTCGGGTCAAACTCCATCGAATTTCAGAGTCCAGTACAGTGTTTTTATTATTATTATTTTCTGGAAGTTTTTATATAAAAAAGCAGAGAGGGTGATTTGAAAGCTAGGAAGCCGAGCTGGAAGGAAGGCAATAAAGGGCAGCGACAAGGTAGTGTGTCACGTGAGACCAACCCATCAGTTATCCATTTGAACAGATATAAGCCGCCTGACGTCGATAGCGCGGATGGCTTCTAGCGAATTGATTGCGCTCAAGCTTCTACTCAGCTTCCTTCATGGCAATGGCTTGGTAGCTGACATACCGACTGAATAAGGTTTTCATGGCGATTCGTGCTGGAGCGCTTTGAGGAGTGAGAACAGCTTCAGACGGGGTCGGTACGAGGTCCCTGGAGAATGAAGAGAGTGGCCTGTGATGGAGGAAGTTCCGGGCGACCATTTCGTCAACAACCGCGTTACCGAGCTCCTCAGAAAGCTTCAGATAGGAGAGGTAACCAGGCGAGCCAACAAGATGTTTGCAGACGACCATCGCTTATTTTAGGCCATACGTGCTCCTGGGAATGTCCTGTACCATCACGCTCATGGCAAGCTGGACGGGCTTGAAGGCCAGGGCTGAAGTGAGATGACAGCAAATGATCAGCTCCCCATGTGTTCCCGTCATATTCAGAAACAAATGCAGGCCTGTTTGTACCATACTAGCGGTCGAGTGGGACACATGTACGAGGCTTACATGAGCCGGTAGGTGTATGCGGAGAGCTTAAACATTGCGAGCCCGAGGTGCGGGGCGGGTGTCTTTGGAGGCCCGGCCGGGACGGGACGGGCGAGCCGGTGATCGACTATCCGCTCGACCCTTTCGCGACGCCGGAAGCCTCTCGCGCCCTTCTGGCCGCCGGAGCTACCGAAATCGCTACCACACTCCCCAACCGGGTCCAGCATCTCTTGTCCGACCCCATCATCATCAACGATTCGAGCTGAGATCAGCGCGATGGGGGTCAAGCCGGGATACGGCGTCCTTGGATCAGCGCGCCAGGTACAACACAACCAGATTCACTCACTCCCATTGATATATATCTCTGGGTGGTTGCTTTTTTTGGGCTGGGTGAAACTATTGTAGATGAGCTCCTGCAAGATGGACAGTCAAGCCAGCAAAGACTCGGTGGTATCTGAGAAGGGCACGACGCCTACATCGATGTGTGTTGAGTCTGCCAGAAATCATCAAGTTCCCTCAAACAGCAAGGCTCTTTCTTGCCCTCATCAGGCGACAGTGAAAACTTTTCTCTGGACCGTTGTCCAGCTTTGTTTTGCATGCTCCTGGGGAGAATGGCAAATTAGCCCCTCTTACAAGAAACTTTGTTGGGTTTTCAAAATCAAATCTCCGCGTGCAGAAGAAAGCTGCAAGACTACACTCTACACCACAGGTACAGAAACTTCTGGCTCGCCTTAATTCATACCTCCAACCCTCATGCTTAATTCACAGAATACTACCTCCAACCCTCATGGAGATCTCCGACTCCATGGGGGACGTCATACCGATGGGACGTCAACAAATGCATGCAGATACGCGCTGTGTTGAAGGTGTTTATGAATGCTGCGAATATGTGAATTCAGAATGTCGCGTTCGGATAACCGCTGGGTTCCTGCTTGGCCCGATATCTGTGTGGCCAACTTCTGGGAATCTGCATGTCGGCTTCATGATCGGATGGCGGTGAGAGTTGCGCGGGCGAGCTAAGGTACCGAACCTTGCTAGTGTGGCCCTTGGGCTACATAAATACAACTTGGGCAGCTATAAAAATGGCTGTTCCCGTCGGCGTACAGTTGGGAGGATGGATAAATTAGGATAAAATTCGGACCGCCGGTCTGCTCAGGCTGCTGAAGCTCGAGATGCAAACAACAGCACATATTCATAGCGTTCATCCAAATCTCCACTGCCATAGTTGCAACCGGTGCAGAGTCCAAACCTTCCTCCCGGTCTACCGTGTCCTGATACTGGAAGGCACCTTACCAGTATGCAAAACAATGAATAGAGATTTACTGGGTATAAGCGTGTGCCTGATTTGGCTCCTTCATCCTTCATATAGTATCTTTACTCCTGACGAATTGAGTATACGTGTTCTACCTCATCTATCTATATATTTACATAAAGAAATGTGTACCACAATCTTTCCTCCGAGCTCCATATTCAACTTTGTGTCCTCCACTGGCGAACGATTTGCTGTCCAGGCGGTGTAACTATAAGTCATCTGGATTACCGGATGGCGGTATCCTGTTGAATCTCCCAGCGCTTCTTCGTCCCCAATCTTTTGGCTTGAACTTATTAATAGCCGGTCTGCCCGGTGGTTTCCTATCGGTGCAGCTCTATTCATCGTCTTGAACTTCTCTTCCCTTTTCAAGGATATACACACATCTCAATACAGGCAACGCAGTATTTCTCAAAGATAATTGTCTCAAGCTCTCATGTCATTCGGAGACAGAGCGCAAGCAGCGAAGGAGGGTATGGGGATGGCTCTCAGAAGACTACCCCAGGTAGTCGGCCTGGCTTGTCCAGGGGTACACGTCGAGTCCTACCCCCCGGCACAAAGGCTACAGAGTCATTCTGCGGACTGCTTAAACTCCTCGAGTTACCCCAGCCGATATTCGAGACAGCTCGCCAGGGCGCCGGCGCTCTATTACGGCTGTCCGGCACCTCGGAACCAGGGGTCTACAGAACAAAGTCGCGTCATGGTCCAAGTGAGACTTATAGCATGTTACTTGAAAAACTGCACTTTCATCGCTGTATCGCTGATATTGATTATTTCCTTGGTGTCAAAGCATCCGACGGCTGTTCGATATGCTCAAACCACTACCAATACACCCGCTTTGGTTGTGCCCCAGAGATCACATCGGAAGACTGTCTCCACCATGGATTCCACGATCATCCACCGGGGCCCAGTGGCGGCAGCAGCTTCCGAGTTCGAAATTGCTCCGGCAGGATCTGCCTCTGAGCAAGATGATAGAAATAGCTCCCATTCTCAGGACATGGTGAGTTATTTTTATTGTTTGAGGGATTGAGGAACTCGGTGGAGCTTGGGAGTGCTGATAGAATTGTATGTTGCCAAACAGATTTATGAGCGCCCAAAGAACCTTAGGATCACCACGGAATTCAGCCCTTCAAGTTCAGAGTTATCTCATGAGTGCCTGCCACAAGCAATCAGGATTCTAGTCACCAGAAATTTCGATGTCTGTTACTTCATCAACTTACCCCGAGGCATCTCTGCCCCGTCCATAGTCAACAAGATCTTTGCCAGGTATGATATCCCCGAGCAAGAAAGATCCGGCTGGAGCATCTTTCGCACGAGAAAATTTCAACCCGTGGGGCATGCCCTCGAGCCAATGCACATCTTCGAAGAATGCAAGCAGACAACAAGCGATCTGTTGATGTTCATCATCCTTCCCTCCAACCCAGAGCTTATGTCGACTCACCTCGGAGGCTTGCTCAACTCGCCCGAATGCCCGCCTGAGTACGAGGAGACCATACCATCAGCGTCTCAAGTGTTCAGTCCTGAATACCCCCTCTCTGGGTTATCAGCCGCTCCCGCCCCACCCGTGTTACCAGAAATCGACGGTTTGGTCGCCGAAGAACCAGATCCTCATCCACTAGTACACCCCTTCGATGATGTAATCCAAGCCCCAAATGATGCCCCTTCGCCAGGAAATATCGGCCGAAGGGTCAGCTTCAGGCTCCATGAGGATCCTACTTCCATACGCAGGTATCCCGTCACACCCCCGATCAGAATCTCTGAGCTCGAATCTTCGCCTGGGGGCCATTCTAGCCATGGTGATCAACGGGCCTCTTCTTCTCAACAAGGGCCACAGTGGCTCCATCGGCACAGTCCCCTCTTCGGCTCGCTTCATTATGAAGGTTCTGCCCACGAGAGCACCACAGAGAGCCCATTCCAGTACGGCGGCAGCCTATCACCTGGTCATTCTCAGCGGCCGGTTTCATCGCTTCGTTCTGGATCGTCTTCTGGTCGTGTTTCGCAACCATTTTGCTCGAGAAGTTCTTCTTCTCAACGCGTTCTACAAACTCCTCAGATCGAGTTAGCCCGCGAAAATCAGAACCAAAGTTCGAGCGAGCTGGAATGCCAAGATCAGTGCAAACCAGACTTCGAGTCTGACAGATCAGTCTCAGTAGAAAATCACCATTCGACTGGAGTTGACCATTCAATTCATTCTTCTCCTGCTCCTCCTGAGTCGTCAAGTGAAAAAATCACAACGGATGATCAAAAGCATCTTGACGACCTTTCATCCGAAGACGTCGAAGAAGATGAAAGTGCCTTGAGCGACGGCAAGGAGTCGTTCTCAAGCTGCTCCTCGAGGTATTTCCCGCATCACCTGCCTGCAAGTGATCAAGTAGAAGACTCAAACACTAGTCAAACTGACCAGTCCGATCTTGCGGAGCCTAGTTTGAAGAAGGACCTCGGGTGGTTCGTTGACCTTATCTCTCAGTCCTTCGAACCTCTCACGGAAGATTGTGCCGAAATTCCTTCGTCTTTGGCCAAGGTTGTCATGACTTTCCCAGCTGGAGAACAGAAAGCTTCCGATCCAAACTTATCATCCAATTCGAACCACGATCCTCTTCTTGGGAATTCCAATGGAATCACTTCTCAGCCTTCATCTTCCGCACATAGTGAATTGGAATCTGATCCCGGTTCCGAGGAGTTCTCTCCTCATTATCCTATCAATATTGAAGGGAATGAAAAGCAGGATAGAAATGGATCAGTGAGGAATCCTGTTCCGGAAGATTTCGAAGCAGAATCCGAGGATGGCCCAGTTTCAGGCGACTTCCAGGTCCCAATGGAAACGTATCAAAAACCACGAACGGATGACGGTATGGATGATAACCGCCTCCCGTCGTACAATAGGCTCAGCGTTGAAGAATCGTCCATGAAACTTCCTGAAAATCAGGCGAATATTTCAAGCGGCTCTAATCCACAGAGATCGGAGGAAGGCGTGAGCAAGACCCGGTCCGAGGAGAAGCTTTTCCCTGATCGAGGTTGGGCCACCCGGCCGGCGGTCGAGAAAGTGTGCGACAACTTGGAAAAGTCGTTTCCGAACCACAACATCGACCAGCCGATCGAGATTCGGATCTTGAAGCATCCCGAGACCAGCCATCAATCTCAACAAGACTCTTCTTTTCAAGGGGTCAAAAGAGTTCTTTCGATCAGATCATCTGTGAGCTCTCGAAGAAAGAAACGCCCGGACTCCACTCTTACTCTGCTCGACCCTCATCCAGCAGATCATCATCTACCGGATTCCTCAGCGGAATCCAATCAAGACCAACTCTACTCGTCCCCCCAAAGCAGTATCAAATTGTGGGGGTTCAAGACAGAGGAAATCTTGCCCGGAAGTCAGGCGGATGTCGTTTTGGATTCTTCCGATCAAGAAGGTACCTCTAGTAAGGACCTCTTGCGCTTTGTTCCGTTTTACGTTTCAAAGCAATTGCTAATTTTTTTTTGTTTCCCAAATTTCAGCCTCTCTGAAATGGGTCAAGGGGAAAATGATAGGATGCGGGAGCTTTGGGATGGTTTACTTGTGAGTTCCCCTGTTGTCAACTATTCATATTCTTAATTAAATACGTTGTACTAAAAGTGAATCTTCAATCGTGAATCTTTCAAAACCACAGAGCTCTCAATCTAAGTAACCAGGCAATGATGGCTGTCAAGCAAGTCAAGGTGGGGGAACGGAGCTCGAACAATAGACCGCTCGTCAAATCAGCCTTAGAAGCAATCAAACTAGAGATTTGCTTCTTGAAGGACTTGGAACATCCCAACATCGTTCAATATCTAGGTTAGAGTCCTCAAAACAGGAACAAAGTCTCGGCTTGCTTTTTTTTTCTTTGCTGATCCCAGGCTTCAACTCGATGTAGGTTTCGAAGACACTCCAGAGCATTGCAACATCTTTCTCGAATACGTAGAGGGAGGATCGATTGGAAGCTGTATCCATAACCACGGGAAATTGGAAAGAGGGGTGGTCAAGTCGTTCACGAGGCAAATTCTGGAAGGGCTTGAATATCTCCACAGCTGCAACATTATGCATCGAGTAAGGAATTGATGGACTGGCGCGATACTCGGACCAGATCAAGCGAGATTCAGCGACTGATTGAGCATGATTTCTGAATGTCTCACACAGGACCTCAAAGTGGATAATGTGTTGGTGGATATGATGGGGCGATGCAAGATCTCGGACTTCGGGATCTCGAAACGATCCAACGAAGCCTATCTGACCTCCCAGTATACGCCCATGCAAGGCACCGTATTCTCGATGGCCCCAGAGGTCTTCACTCAGCGGATGGCCTGTCGTTATAGTGCCAAGGCCGACATCTGGTCCCTGGGCTGTCTCGTCTTGGAGATGCTCTGTGGATCAAGGGCGTGGACTGGCTTGACTTGCCTGCAAATAATCTACCAGGTAGCCCTGATATTCGTGTCGGTCATTCAATTTGCTGGCTTTTCTGACCCCCAGACTACTCTTCTGAAAGGTCGGGATTAAAAGACGCACACCTGAGATTCCTCTAGAGCTTCAAACGGACAAATTCCAAAATCACTTCTTAAAGAAATGCTTAGAACTGTAAGTTAATGAGCCTTGAAGAACATGCAGTTTGGTCGTTGTATTTTCTGTTTGCTTCCTTGCTAACATCGTTTATTTCGATGGATATGGATACCCCTGTGTGGTTTTAGTGAGCCCTGCTCGCGACCAACCGCTAGTAGACTCATCGATCATCTTTTCCTCGAGCTTGACCCGGATTGGACATTTCAAAAATCTGAACTGTTTAAATTACTTTGAAGGTCTTCTTCAACAAATTTGTTGTATAACTATTGACATAGACGTTTTTTTTTTAACTTTTTTTAGTTATCTATGTATTTTCCAAAGATGCTGTTTATGATTTGTAAAACTGTATGGACTATCTCTATGTGAGCGTCCCCCACCTTTTTTCGGGGGGGCCCCCCCCCCCCCCCCTAGCTCAGAGCCCAGACCACAGATATTGTGAATCCAGCGATGTCCACGCGCCGCACCATGCAACGGGAATGGCTTAAGGAAGGCCCGCACAGCTATGCCCGGGCGCCCCGGCAAAAAAAGGCCGCGGTCTTTTTTTTTTGCGGGGGGGGGGGGCGCTAATTGAGACTCCAACTGCAATTATATGTTACTTTTTAGCAACAACCGAAGTGTACCCAGCATTGGTTTGAAGCTGTTTGAGGGTCACGAGACATCTTGGTCTCATTTGCACCAATACACGATGCTTATTTCATACCAGAAGCACTATTACACCTCGGCGCTGGTCTAAATCAGTTTCAGTGCTGTTGAAGACTCGATGCTTAATTAGTGCTGTTACAAAGTTCTTCTTCATTTTTAGTGCTATTGAAGACTCAGCCACTCTTCTGTGACAGAAAGTGATCTTTTCGCAGGGACCGGGGTACACCGCTGGTTTGAGGGCACTTATACTTGGCTATTAGATATCCATTCTGTACCAAAGCGGTCATATTTGTCCATGTGCTGATTGGGAGTCTACATACACTTTGTACCCTCTGACACTCACTATTTGCATTCTTTAACCAGACTCTGACAAGTTTGCGATTGGAACAGGGCAAAATGTTACTTTCTTCCGTTTGGAGTTCACCCTGGAGTCACTGTTACATAATCCATTTGTTGTTGTATTGATGAAAAACTCCTAGCCCCTCCTGAATCCCAGGGCCCAGGTAACAGACAAATCGTTTTTTTTTCGAGATGGGAGTATCTCAAGACTGGGTTCGAGGGGCCAGGTTCCCCCACAGTCCGATCCAATCACCATCAGTTCTGATACGCTTTAATCCCGTTTGCTCATCCAGAGCCCAGTTACTTGCTCACCCAGTTACAGCTTCATCAAAGCTCTGTGGACTCATTCGAAGGTAAGCCGCATATTGTTCAACAACTGTCACATTACATTAAACATGAAGTTGTTTTTGTGTGTCTGAAGGAACGCAACCGACCACGAAGGATTACTCGCTCGAGATGAAAGTCGCGTTTCCGTGGACCTTGTTTCTCTTGCTCGCGACCCTACTGGGAGCAACCCGTTGTGCATTCCTTCGTGGCGGGCGACGTAGCTCGAATGTGGGCCCTACCTTGCCGGCTGGGGTGATACTGGACTCGGAAGCTTTCGCGGGGAGGGAGGACAGCCATCAAGTGCCTGTACCCATCGGCGGTCAAACCGCACTTGTCTTCCACATTTCCGAAACGAACTGGCACGTTCGAAATGACTCGGCACATGAGATTGTGATTCAAGCACACTTTCTGAATAGCGAAGCCGAGCAATCATGCAAGACTCACACTATCACTCGAGGCTTTGGGGGCAGTCTAGGAATACCGAAGACCACAAAGGTGATGATCAATGTCACTAGGGCTGGAAACATTGAGCACTAGGATGCATATTTATATAGTACAAGCATAATATTTCAACATTTAATAAGCCCTATTATAGTGGGACTGCTCAGATCATTTGTGAAACTCAACTTTTATATCTTGTCAGCTCTACATCGCATTTACACCAATATATAACATTCTTAATCATCTTTCGGTTTGATCATTTGTGATCCTTTTGGCAAATCTTACATGTTATCCTGCGTAACAATAGTGTGGGAAGGGGAGGGAGTTACTCATTTTTGGAATAAGTTAATCTGCTGAGCTGCAAGTTGAGTTGTTGTTGGAAGTCAAAACAATCAGGAAAAATGACGACGGGTAATTTTATTTTTGACAGTCAGACAATGATAAGAGGTTTTATTTTAAGAAACTAGAGCCTCTCACTAATACTTGTTCTTATTGGTGGGTGAATGAGATTTAAAAACTGTAATTTGTTTCACAGGAATATAATCAATATATGCTTATTTACAAAAAGAGTCTAGCAACCCGATATTTTTACCAAGGATTCATGTCTGAAGAGCAGTGCAGAGGTGCATGAATATCAAGCCGCTATGAGGGTTGCAATGTTGTTCTGATTATCTTGTTTTAATAGTATTAGGAATTAGAATTCATCAGTTATTTTGGCCTGGGGTTTGTCACTCAAAGGGTTTTCAAAGCCAGTTTTGCTTACAACAAAAATTTTGAAAGGCCAGCAGCAATGATATTGAGAGCGAAAAGGATGAGGATACGAATCACATTGAAGCCGGTTTTTTATCCTCCAGGAGAAGAGATTATTCTCCGGAAGCATTGCACCTTCAAAAACATGTTAAATATACGCGTTTGTTGGCTGAACTTGACACCGTTAGCCTCGTGCTGAAAGAGGGTCTCAAACAAGTTGATGTCATCGCCTGACGGCCTTCGACGTTATGAGCAGCTTATGATAGTCACGTCTGCATTGCCAAGGCCCGTCGGATCAAATTGGTAACTCAATCCGATAAAAAACATTAGGTGACTCAAGGGCCCAGTAGCTGTACGCACATAACCTTTGCCCATGAAAACCCTTTAGCAATTACGCCGCGGCGGACAAGGGATTCAACTCTTTCTGTTTTGGCATCTCCTGGATACACGTCAATCCCTTGATGATACGAGCGTTGAAGAAAAGTGTGCAATTCATTGAGGTTTCCTCTTATCTTGAGGATATTATCATGTGTTGGTGTAGCGATTGTTGCGTAACGACTTTATTTCTGTCCTACTTCTCAAACTTGTTTCCTCCGTTAGAGCACCCTCACTATCCACACAACCAAACATAACGCTAACCATTCGAACTTCTTCTCCCAGAAGCTCTCACATGGTTTGAAACTTCCATCATTAAATCTTGATGCTCATGATTCAATGCTCTCAACTGCATTATATTTTGATCTTTGTCTTATTCAGTGGAAAAATTAGAAAGTCGGCCCAATGTAGAACAGGCCTTCAAGCTGATAGACTGTCAGGTGAGCGGCTAGAACTGGAGATTGCCAGGTATGTGTCACTCTAGACCTGCAAACTGAACATCCTTTGGTCTTTTCTTTCTTTTATCGCAGGAGAATTCAAGGGCAAATCTGCGGTTCAAGATGAGGCACAAAACCCAAGCCCGAGGCTCAAGTCTTACTACCATCAGATTCAGACTAACCAAGAATCGCAAAACGTAAACGAGTATAGCAGTCCAGTCTCCAAAGCTGAAGAAGCGTCTTCGGTTGAAGTGCCACCTAACACACCGCCGTCTTCAAAAAATGATACTTTCGAACAACCCCCCAAGGATCCTTCGGAAATAATCCCATCGAGCACAAGCTTAATCTCACCCAAAGTCGCAACTCCGCACCACGATGTAAAACCGAAGGTCGCCGAAATCTCGCCGACTCCATCTTCAGAATCTCTTTCGAAACCACACGTGGGTTATGGGAAGCAGCAGAGCATGATCATCACAAGAGACCTCCTTATCGCCATCTCAGTCCTTGCATTATCCATGCTCTCTCTCGGCATCATATGGTTCGCGCTGATCGTGTTCCAGCCTATGATCAGATCATCACGGATGAGGCTTAAACCACGATCGTGGTTCAAGAAAAATACAAAACCGAATGATCCACCTCAGTGGTGGACTCAGTTTCCTATAAACTCCCAACTGTCAGAAGCTGAGGCCTTGTCCATTACCAGAAATTTTACCGGAGGTGCCAATGCAGGTAAACAGAAAAAAAGACTACCAACCAATTAACCCTTGTAAAGAAATACTGATGAAAAATTTAAATATAACAGGGAGGTCTCAATTTGGATCAACAAGCGAAATGGTAGCCGCATTCACGCCTAGGAAAGTCAGTTGGAATATGCACACAGGATTGACCGAACAAGTCGAAGTCTTGGAGGATCCAGAAAGTCAATGGAAACCAGACAACGCTCCGAGCGGAGAGAACCCCATCCCGCATAGTCGACTCGAGACCTGGCTGAGGGGGACTGATGAGATGAGGGGAAAGTTGTTCTTAGCCACTTCTGTGTTAGTTTTCTATACAAATCATCTCCTCTCATGCCCATTTGCTTATTCTCAAGGTGGTCCAACCGAGTGACTGATGCAACTTCTTTTCCAGCTTCCAAAAGGATCCAAGCCTGTGTCTGACGAAAGAATCCGCTCTAATGCGCGGGTTGCCTTCGTTGGGTCCTTCTGATTCGGCTTCCAGATTATGATCTTCTTGTCTGCTTTACGGTTCCAGCTTTCACGCAACACATTTATCAACAAACATTGCATTTCTTCCCTTGTTCAACTCTGGTCAAGCTTCTGGTTCCGTGAACCCATCTGTTCTAGCGTTTTTTGATTGCACCTATTATATTGTCACTGTATCTCTTGTGTATTTTCTCATGTCTTTAAATTTTAAAATGTGCCAATATCATCGTAAATATGTAAGCTTTATCTAGAAGCCTTACATGTAACTTCCATTGTGATCCGGTCCAATTCATGACTTCCGGCGTGAAGACTCGCTCTGTTTTAATGAGTGGAATGTTTTTGCTTCTCCAGGCCCAGTCCAGCCATTCAACTACAGCTGCAATCCCAGGGTATACATAGCCAATCTCTGAGATTTGGGTGAGCTGGGCTTGAATGAAAACCAACCTGCGCTGAGATACCTGCTACTTTTCTTAACCTTCTATGTGTCACCTCTCCTTCAATTGGCCACAATTGCCCTTCAAACATATTGTTCGTGCCCATTACTTGACCCTTGCCGCCCTCCGCCCACCCCTTCGGGCGGATTCAATTGTTTCACAGTTGTCCCGTGCCGGCGCGGGTATTCGGAATGAGTGCTTGACTACCTGATAATGAACCGGTCAGATCCGTGTTTGTGGAGTGTATAGGTAGATTGGCCCAGACCAAGCCAATTTGTAGTCGTTGACAAATTCTAAGATACTTGAAACTTTCCTTTGGGATGGCCAGTCCCAAATCAAACCTTTGCCACCATGAGACGAACCGTCCGGGTTGCTCGGAAGTTTTTATAACTAACCATCCTCCGGACTGGTACAAAACCAGAGGCTCCTTGAACGCAACCAGCACTTGATACGCATGTGCCAGAACTTGCGATCCACAAGGAAATAGCCACAATCATTCATTTCGGTCATCTACCTACCTGCAACCTGCCGGACCAAGTCGTCAAACGTGTTCTTCAATCATCGCAAACAAACTTTTCACGTTCAAACGCACGACTTGGTAATCACTATTATCATGATGTTGAAAATCCAAGCCTTCATCTTATTAGCTCTATTCCGCAATATATCTGGTTTCGAGTTGCCTACCGTCCCGCTCTCACCCTACGGAGATCAAGCGGCTTCTCGGCAGGTAAACCCATTGGAGGACGTAGAATGCGGCCTGAATTACAACGTATGGGGGCAGATCTCACCCACCTCGACCACCGGGCATGCCAATCTTTGTCTGCAATGTCGAATAACAGCCCCTGGAAGGACCTTGAGCTTCAGTTACGTCCAAGCTCTATCGACTACTATCAATGCTCACGGAGTGTCAAAAACCGATGCCCTGATCTTGCAATCTTCCATCGATGTAAATGTGTTTTCTATTTCCCCCCACCTCGAGTTTATAAGTCAAAACTTTCTATAACAAAACTGACTGTTTGCGGCTGAAAAAACCTACCTTCTTCATCAGGAGGACCTCGTCAACATGGCGAACAAATCACAAACAAGTGCAAGTTGCGAATCGACTTGCTCAGGGGATGAACGTAGGTTGAGAATTGTGATGCTAAGAAAAGGCTGAAAATATTGACGATTCCTCTATTATCTCCATTCCAGGTTGTGCTTCCTGTGAATTTACAGAGAATGGCTGCAAAATGACGGCCGTTGACTACATGAATGAAAATCATGCGGGAAAACCACTTGCGGAGGCTTTGGAAAGCTGCTTTGCAAGTGGGGGCTCCAAATATTGTGGGCTTTGCCGTACGTTGCTCGTTTTCTCCGGCCCACAACTTGCACATATTGTGTCTTTTTTTTCTTACAAGGTCATGTGTGCATTTCTTGATTTTCTCAGCCAACGATAGAAGCTGTGTTGGTTCAAGAGCTAGCGGCCCACCTCGGACTCGGAGGAACCTGAAATCAAACGATTCAAGCATCAAGTGCCCCTCTGGTCTTACCGGTAAGACATTTTCAAAAAACCATGGACTGCAAATTGCGGATCCAGTCATGATAAATGAATGTCCAATGCAGCACTGATGAATAACTCGGTTGTAGCCTGCCCTCTTTCTTCTAGGCCCTCGTTCAAAACCACGGCCAGATTTGAATGCCTCGACATCAAACAAGACACTAACTCGTGTGGAGGATGCGTAAGCGCAGGCAGTGGAGTCGATTGTTCAACACTTGAAGGGGTCTCCTCCTCTGGTTGCTCCGATGGAAAGTGCAAAATACGTAAGTCAAATCATCATTCTCCGCATTTTCTGCCCGTACTCGTGGCTTATAAATGGCTGATATTGAACCGTTGGCAGTTTCCTGTAAGAGTGAATATGAATACTCTGAAGCCGGTTATGAGTGTCTCAAAATCCTTTAACCTAATATTGAGAGAAATGAGTGAGTAATCCGTAATCATTACATGGCTGCTTTGAGTCTTGATTTAAGGGTATTTATTTTTAAAAAGGGATGAAGGAAGTAGGATATGGGATTTTTGATTAAGGATCACCATGGATTGTTTAACATTGTAGAAATATTTTTTCATTTCCATATTTAATAACCACATAATTGACATTGCAACATATGAAAGCACAGAAAAGCATTTTTTCTTTGAAAGGAGAGCATGGGCATACCTCTTTTTTTTTTTTACACAAAAATTCTAGGAGGACACAGAGGTTCTGATCAGATGATCTTAGGTATTCTGAGGCTAGAAACAATGGTGGGCCGCTACGCTGAACTACGCGAAACGACCCCCTAGCAGCAGCGTAGCGACCCCGGAAAGCTCCTCCTGATTCTGTAGCGTTAGCGGGCTGTTAGCGGCGCTACGCTAACACTACGCCGCGTTACGCCGCTTTTTGGGGAAAAACCCGCTAAAAAGGGGTGTAACGCTGCGTAGTGGCATCATATTTTGCCCCATGGCCGTCAGCGATAGCGTGATACCGCTAACAGCTAACGGAAAACATCCGTAGTGTTAGCGGTATTTCGCTGCACTACGCTTCGCTGACGCTAAAGTCAGCGTAGCTGGCCCACTGCTGCTAGAAACAGGACATTGAGGGGCAAAGGGATACTTGATTGACTAATGTTCATGATATCATACGAGGTTATGGAATTGAATTTAGAGAAAAAATTGAAATAGATTAGCATCAAACCAGACAAAAGATAAATTAAATCAGAAAAATACAAACTGAAATTGTAACCAGACAAGATGTATCAAGAATTTGAAAAACAGAAACAAGAAGCAAATCTAAATTAAGAAATCATGAAGCACACAAAAAATTCAGGGGGAAAATGAAGAAACCAGGTATAACATAAATTAGATTCTATAGAAGAAAGAAAAAGCAAATTTAAAAAGTCATAACATCCAAATGTAAATTTGAAAAAGCTATACTAGTTTTTTTTTTTCTTTATTGAAGTTGAAGATAAATGTGTTTTGGTTTTTGATTTTGTTTTTTTATTTAGGAAAGAATTATTTGAAGATGGTAGAGAAAGCAAGCATTCTTCAAGATTTCCAAGATGAAATCTGTCCAAATGAGCAGAAAACCTTGGTGGGATAGATTAATCCTGCTAAAATCAGGTTGAATTTGAACTTATTGGAATGAGATTGATGCAACCCATTCAATCATCAGCTGTACATTTGAATTTAGAATTTGAGCACCACCCCAATTCTTCTGCATGAATCCCGCTTGAACTGGGTTAAATTCTACCCATTTTAAACAGTATTGATTCAATCCAGCCAGGCTTACTGGAAGTGATGTCTTGAACATTTAATGATTCATACACTGCCTTTTTTTGTTCCAGCTCTTGTTCCAGAATTTGAAGTCTTCCTTCAATGTAAGGATTCAAGAGATATTTATTGATAGACTTGAGTTTAAGAATAGAACAAACAGTTTTGGAATGCTCAAATTTTATCATCTTGATGTAACTTGAAAAGTGAATCAGTTCCTTCAATGCTTCACTTGCATTGTGTTTGTTTTCCAGAAGTGAGCTGCTTCCCCATGCACCCAAAGATGAATGATAATACTGATGTATATAAATGTAAAGTTTGTCTATTTCTGAAAGGAACTGGGTACTTGTGTGCAACACAAGGAGCTTCTGATTGAAATTGGTGCCTTCAAAATTCAATTGTGAAAAAACGTTTTGATGGTGCTGATTCAGAAATTCAAAAAACTGTGACAAAAGGATGGTTTCTGAAATACCTTCTCCTGACCGATTGGTTTCTAATTTGGTAAAGATTTCAAGTGCCTTTTGAATAGAAGGTTGATTAACTTCCAGCAAGTCTTGACTTCTTCCATCCAAGAAGTTCCCACTGAGGATTGATTCAAATAATCCACACAAATTGTTCATCTCTTCTTTGAATTCATGATGCTTGTATATTTCCTCACCATCATTCAGGTAGTTGGACATCTTGGAAGCAAGAAGATGGCTTAATAAATTTTTCCTTTCTTCATCTTGAAGAACTTTCAGTAGAAGAAAAATTCAAATAGACAACAAAACATCAGTGTCAAAGAAAATTTTTGACTAAGTATTATTCTATCTTACCTTCAAAAACATTGGTAAGATGTGAAAGATCCCAGCGGTCATAAATATCATCTAATTCTGTGGGATACCAGAAGTCATTGTTATTCTGATGACCCTGCATACAAATCCAAAGATTTTGTTTATTGATGTACCAGGCAGCATATTGCAAATTGTTTCTGTCAAACAGCTTGTCCAAGTCATGGATATTAATCAACTCATGCCTATACATGAAATGAAGTGTTTGATAAAACACCATCCTGAATTTCATTCTGAAGTGATCACCTCCAATTGAAGTTGAGGGTATTAGATCTGAAAGGATCTTCAGCTCTTCAATCAATTTGATTGTTGCCTTGCCCATTTGACATTCACAGAGATCTGCATGAATGCTTCTTCCTTTTAGAGATCCCGTTGATTCATGGATTTTCTGATTTAAATAATTCCAGGCTTGAATATCCTTACAATGAGCTGTAATCAGATCAGAATTGACTGGTTATGGGAGAACCTTGAGCAAGATTGGAGTAAAATATTTTTCAAGACAGGCTTACTGTATTTTCCATCTGTTTCTTCTGTGGGATCAATTCTGATGTAATGATAGATCAAGTAGAGATTTCATAGTTTCCATTAAGTTCAAAAGTTTTGGCATTTTGATGAAAAATAAAGATAGAAATTTTGAATAAGGAAAAATAATGGATACCATTCACATACATTACCTCTCCATACCTATAGATCTTTCTCAGAATATTTCCATGATTCAAGATTTCTGAGTCAAGGAATTCCAAGTTTTTTTCTCCTCCTTCAGCACTTGAAGAGATCAGAATTTTTCCTGGATTCAAGACTGAAAGTCTATGCCTGATGTGAATCAATAATAATTTGTCAATTTCCCTCAAACTTCTTAAAAACATTTGCTCAGATTGAGTCTGATGTGAATATCCAACTTGGAATGATGGTGAATTTTCTCTGATAGAATTCAATTCTTCAAACAGTAAATTCATGAGATCTATCCGGTACTGGTAAGCTTTTCAATCATTTGGATTCAAGTATAAAATAGATAAGAAGAAATGTAACCAACTTATTCTGCCTTCCCAGGAGTCTGGATCATTTACTTCTGAATATCATAATATAGAAATTTTGTAAATAATTCCTTATTCATTTTACACAATACTTTTTTTTTTTTTGAAGAAGTGTGAATGTTGACTGACCATCTATTGCCAAATGGTTTGGTTGTGTGTTGAGCTCTGGAATATTAGCTATGAAATCCAAAACAATTCTTTCTTCTTTTAATCTGCTTGTTTCAGGACCCATACTAATTACTTGGGAGCTTCCACCCATTGAATTCTGACCCAAGTTACGCCAGTACTTTGGAAGAGATAAATTGGTTAGATCTGGCCAGAATGGAAAGTAATTCCAGATGGAGAAGATAAAAAGGAAAGATAAGATGGATGAGTATTTTTTTTTGTTCATATTAAGAGAGAAGAGGGATAAGTTAATCAAATACCAGATTCATGCAAATCTTGTATTGTTGCACTTTGTGTTTTCTGTATTCCAAAACAAAAGGTATGCATGCAGTGTGTTGCTGAAAGGCAGCATACAAAAATCAAGATTGTGGTTTTCATTTTCTGGAAGGAGAGGCTATAGGAGGGTAGGTAGAATCCAAAGAAACAGGAATAGTTTATGTCAAGTCCCCACTGTCACATTCTTTAGGTTTATCTGAACCCAATACATAGTATCCTAATTTATTTTGGTGGAGCTTTTGCAAGAGAAGAGTAATCTAGACACCAATAACAGAGTATCCAAATTTCCTTTGGTGAAACATTTGAACATAAGAACAATCTAAATATGTCACGAATGTAGGGGAGAATACACTCCTTTGGTGAAGATTGCAAGAGAAGAATAATCCAGATAGGCCACCGATACAGAGGACCACATATTGCTTTGGTGAAGCTTTCCAGAGAACAGTGAGATGATCTATGAACATACCTACATCAGCCACTGGAATTTTTATCAGTCTGGTTTTGGGATATGTAAGCTACATAAATAACTTAACAAACTGCCTCTGTATCCAATTGCAGAATTTGTTCAGAAAGCTGTTATGAGCAGTTTGATGTGACCATGAAGCGCCCTCGTGGGAAGAGCGACCTCTGAAGGAGGGACTTGCAGGTGATACCTGTTTTTTGGCCTGGGAGCTTTTGCAATTTTGGTGGGAGAAAGATTTGCCTCACTTATCTGTTGCTTTATCCCCACAAATTCATGACGCCTGTGGTATCAAACTCAAGGCCTTAATTTTCTCTTTTTTTTTTTTTTTTTTTTGGTGTCAATCACCTATTTTTCCTCCTGAACACACTCCTCCCCTCCCCCCTTTGAAGTTTTCCTTTTTTTTTTTTTTTTGTGTGTGAATTCCCAAAAATTCTGAGCAGACTCAATTGCAATACAGAAATTCATCATCCATCCACCTCAGCTTCTGGGCAAGGGCAGCACCCTCCTCCAAGTGTAGACAGGGAGAAAGTGATACTACATTCATTCAACATGAGATGCTCAGCTACAAACTGCCCTTCACCTTGTTGTCTCATGATGAGGAGTATGCATCTCATAATGTGACTTGATTTGAAATTTTTGTCCAAAAGCCACACATTTTTGGAAGCTCTCAAGCAGGAAAGCCACAATAACTCATAAGCCTCCCATTGGGAATGGGAAGATGCTTTGCATCGGGGTGCTCTGCACCCCCAGTCCTGGGAGGCTTAGTTAAGTCAGAGAGAAGGTGACCCTGACTGTGGAGACTGATACAGCCCTGAGCTTTCCAACAACCTTCCAGCTCTTTATATATTTATATATATTTATATATTTTCAGGAAAACAGATACTCCATATATAATCAGCTGTAGTAGTACCAGTCCATATTGCTGCCACAGAAGACATGCTGGTTTCCCCCCGCTGGTTTCTCTGGAGCAGCTTCCCCGGCTGGGACGGTCCTTTTCACTCACCTGGGAGCCCTGGGTCATCACCATAGTCTCTTGATCGGGTTAGCAAGATTGCATACTGTTTGTTTTGTTTTTCTTCTCTTCCAGTTTTTTTTTTTTTCTATTGTGTTTTCTATCCATTAACAAGTTTAACATTAAGCGACAAACCTCCCTAAACTACAGGTACCACGAATTGTGATGGCACTTGAGACATTAATTCTCGCGTTGACCCTGCGTTACCGTTCTTCTAAAATATTTCTCTTCAGCCTTGACTTATATATTTTTCATTTCTTTTGTTTATCCTTACATCTTTGTTCCAAAAAATCGATCTTTGTCCCCTGCCTTTTACTCGTCTGCCAACATCCTTTTCCTTGTCCGGTTTCTTTCCCTTTTTCCCAAATGCCACTGTTGTAATTCTTCACTCTTGTGTTTCCATTCTTGGCTCAAGCAACCTTAACTTAACATTCTATACTAAGCACTTTCTCCAATTTTTTTTCTTTTCTATTTTTGTTGTACCAAGCGCTACTCCTATTACATCGATTTTTGCTCCTGCACTCACGAACTTAGCCTCTTGAAAACTTCAAAATACTTTCTAATTTATACTACTCTTCATCGCCTACCACAATCTTTTGACTGGCCCTTTCTTCGATCTTATGTCTTCCTTCTTCCGTTTCCTTTTGCATCATCTCCCCTTTTTTTTATCTTTGCCTTTTCCATTCTTTTGGTCCAATCACCTCCTCTTAATTTTCCTCGACCTATGTCTTACTCTTTCCTTTTCCTATCGCGTTGTCCCTCTGTTTTGTATTTTTGTCTTTTCCAATATTTTTGTCACATCACCTTCTCTTGTCCCATGACTCGGTGTTGAATTGAAGCTACTATCTTGTTACTTGAATCACACCCCTTGAATTCTTCCTATCACTAAAATTCAAAATACAACATGAGTACCTCATACTCCATTCAGGGTTGCCGATTTATAGATGAACCCCTCTCAATCAACTCTGATGGCTCAATCACTGTCAATTTCACCAATACCAATGTTCCCCTCAACCGTCGCTCCTACCCCGCCCAATACCCTCAATTCTCACTTACTGCAAAGCCGATGTCGCTTGCTTCTTTGACTGGTGGTCCTTGGTTGATTTATTACGGCACTGTTGATCTCTCATCAAATCTGGATGTTATCAAAATCAAGTCTCATGTCTCATATTGGCAAAATTCTTGTCCCTCATTCATGCGATGTGATGGAGGACCACAACTCAGTGGTAACATTAAATTCAGCAATACTCATGATCATCAACTTTGTGCAACCCCGCTAACTCCTTCGCCAGTAAACTCCGTTCTATCTTTCCACTCAGTACTGATCTGAGCCTTGTTAATGTAGTTGTGAAGCATATATATATTTAATAAGAAACAAGCAAAGTCAGATGATGTTTCTGACATGGACTTAGATTAATATAGATAGTTATGTAATGAACAATGATTTGAACTGAAACAAGTATTATATATTTTGGGCGGCGAAGCCGCCCTTAGACACTAGTGTCTATATATTACATAGCACCCTTCCAGTCTTGACATAGGCAAACAGATAATAGTGCAAGTTGTTGGCTGTATATTCGAATTTCCTGAATTCTCTTGGACACTCAAATAGTCCAGTTCCCGGAATTTCTCTTCTTTTTTTTCAGTTTGCATTTCTGGCGCTCATGAACAGATTGTGTATAGGAGTGCGATCGAATCAAGTGAACAGATGAAGGATGCCCATCTATATCCTGGAGTTGCAACTCGAACAGAAATGTGTGTTTGAGAATGCTGGCCCGAATTGACTGGAGGAACTTTCTTTCCACTGGACGCCCCCAGTTTTAAATGTATGTCGTTGGCCAAGCGGTCCAGGGTCAAAAAGAGCTCACCAGATTCGATATCCATTGTGGTGTCGATGTATCTATAAGTTGATGACGATCATGAATTTATCGGGCGTCCAGACATAAATAAAAAAACTGCCGCATATAAGTAAGTTTACCGATCCAAAGATCCGCGGCGCTGGGATCGTTTTTGAATTACGGCGGTCAGAGGGCGAAAGTTGAGGTAGATCCATGTCACGTTCATGATAGATATAGATAGATGAAGCCGTGCGTCGGGCGTCGAGAAAGGGTTGAATTTTTTTTGTTTTAATGAAGAGGGCATCGATGGACGTTGTGCTTCAATTCTGGACGGGTCTGATGTCTTGTGTGATGCTAGTGTTGCAGGGCTTGATCAGGTTACAATATTTTTAAGGAAGGCCAGTCGAGTGAAAGCTGGTGGAGTCAGAGTGTCAAATTTAACACAGGCTTGGTCATGGGATCCATCCAGCATAATTATAAAGCCCTGCCTCTGTGCACGCTCAGTAGACAGACTGATCCCAGCAGACAGCCGAGCAGAGTTCAAGGGTTTCTCATGATGATGTTTGGATGAGTGCTGGGCTGGGCTTTTGTCGTGGAGGCCGGGCATACAAAGCTACATTCTGGGCGGAGTCTGGACTTTTAGTGCTGGAGTTTGACTGATAAAAATATGCTTGTATCGAGTGCAATCGGATTTTGCAAACTGCTTCGGAGCAATATAAAAGGACGAAGATGAAGATCCAACAACAACAACCACAACAACAAACTACTATGCCTCAATTCACTCATCACCATCATCATAATATCCAAAGACCACACTCAACCACACCCACAACCGAACGAACCTACTACAATCACCACCACCACCACCATCATCATCATTCATGGTCAGCCTCAACCCAAAACCAACACCGAGCACCCATCACAAAGCACCGATCGAGCTCCTCCTACTCAACCGATCACCATCAACAACAACAACATAGACAGCCCCGATCGCCTCGCGGACCTCCTCAGTCCAAAACAAACCTCACCATCCATCGAGCATCCGCCTCCAAACCATGCTCTTCTCCTCTGGCCACCCCGATCATCTGTTCCACTTCCTCCTCCGCCTCCTCCTCCTCGTTCTCATCCTCATCCAGACAACTCCTGCCCTCCACTCTCTCGCGCGCCAACAGTCTTCCAGGGAAGCCCCATCGACCGATCGCCCAACGTTCCATCACCGCCTCCGCCCACTTCATCGTCCCCGCTTCCTCCTCCTCCTCCTCCTCCTTGGCCTCCTCCTCCGCTAGACTCAAACGCACCCATACCTCGCCCCCTCCCCCGCTTCTCTCCTCTAGACTCCCGACCTCGCCCACTCCTGCTTCCGCTGTCACTCGGGCTTCCGGAGTCACCGTCTCCGGAAGGATGGTCGAGTCAGATTCTGACCTTTCGCGAAGGTCTGTATTGACTCCTACACACAATTTATTTATATACTTAACAATTATTGGCGGTTCTTTCTGTTCGTGGATCGGATTAGAGAGACCTTGTCGAATGTCTTGCGCGCCGTCAGTCAATCCGGCCTAGGCCGCTCCCGCTCCCACCATCATCATCATGCGCCAACGACGACGACGACGACGACTGGCACGAGTTTCCATCCGGACCCGAGTCCTTCGGCTCCCGTGCTCGCCATCGCCAGGTGTAGCAGTCGGTGTGGGGCTCAGAACGGGCGGACGGATGGGGTGGATGAAGACGTGGTCAGTCGATCTCTTCTCTTATAATGAGATCGAGGGTTTCTACACAGAAAAAAAAAAAACAAGCACGTCTAAAAAAAAAAAACGGGGTTTTTTTTGTTTAGACGCCGATCAACGGAAGTGAAGAGCCAGAGGGCGGGAGTAATACAGGAAGCCAACCGGGGACGCCGGGACGAGCGAGGTCAATGGCCGACCGGCTCCCGTTCTCGAGCAGTTTGTCGTCGGGCTCGGGCGGCTGGGCCGCGGACGACGGGGGGCTAGGATACGAAGCTCGCGAGGGCCGGAGCTGTGAGGATCCCCCGGGAAGCCAGACGAGCGGGTACATCAGCTTCGCCAGTCTCAACCTCTGCGCGCCCCCGAGTCCACCCGAATCCGTCCATCCCCCCTTCTTCGATCACTTCGCCCCTTCCCCCCCTCCTCTTCATCATCATTGTCTGCTTCTGGAAAACCATTCTCCCCTCTGTCGTCGCCCTATCACGCCCCGCTTCTAGCTCCCCTTCGGTCAACTATCTTCGCTCCTTTTTCTCTCTTCTTTCTTTGGGGCTTCTGTTTTTTCCGGCTTCTCGCGGGTATCCGTCTTCTCGCATCATCCATCCTTCCCATCTGCTTTGTTTACAGTCTCTCTTTTCTGTTGGGATTGATTTTTCAGTGATTTATATATATATATATGTATGCATTCTTTTCTGGGTTATATATACACACACACAAACACATTGGGTTCTTGTCTTTCTTTCGGCTTGAGCGGTGTCTTCAGGGCCCCCATTGGCTGTGCAGTTCTGGCTCCTCTACATACTCACTCACATACTTACTCACTTGGTTGTCTTCTCTCTCTCTTGTACACATGATTTATATTCCTTGACCACACAACAAACAAGACCCACACTGAGATTTACAATAATCACTATATATTTATCTGCACATGGTGTTCTTTGTGTCTGGTGGGTGCAGTAGTACAGCCATTTCGAGAAAGGTTGCGGTTCGCGAGCCAGACTTTTTTTTATTTTTTTTATTTTTTTTATTTTTTTATTTTTTAGGGGCTGAATACAGCCCTGTATATGAGCTGGATTACTTCCAATTCTTCGTTTACAGAAGAAAACGAAGGATTGGAAGACATACAGCCGACATACAGGGCTGTATCAGACTCTAAAAAATAAAAAAATAAAAAAATAAAATAAAAAAATAAAAAAGTCCGACTCCCAAGCAGCAAGCTTTCTCGAAACGGCTGTACTTGATACCAAGTTCTTGTAAAACAATGGGAACCCACTGGTACAAACAATCTGTACGTGATGAGTACCCATAACCTGCCTTTAAATCGAAGGTCCTGTCCTTCCCCTATGGGAGAGGCCAACCAGTTGTTGGGTTGCGCCGACCAAAGAGAGGGACTTCAAGGCGGCCCTGCGGGCGGCCTGCAAGCATTTTATGTATCTCGAATCTTGGGCGCTGAAGATCTTATGTAATCGGCCTGCCGGCAGAACGTGTTTTTTTGGATCTGTGGTTGGGTGGATGGTCTTGTCATTGATTGCAGGTTTGTCACTCTTGGTCTCTCTCTACATATCTTTACACAAGAGCCTTATGGCCAGCTCATCAGCAAGATGATCATGCTCAATGATCACTTGCATGATGGCTTATGGGCCATGGAAGATGTCTGATGGGGGCTTCTATGTAGGATCTTCATCATAAGTGAGCTGTATCAAGCTCAGTTAGATCGATCAGTGCTATTGTATGTCTTCAACATCCATCCTCACCCACAGTACTCTATCGACAACGAGCTGTCCATGTGAGTTGATAAAAACGGCCTCAGTTTATGGAAGCCGTCACACCCTCACTCTCAGGGTGCAAGGGTTGAAATGACTTGACCAAGCACTCGAATCTCCTGCACGAGTCCCTGATCTGGTTGGCGGGGCAAAAACTTTAAGTTACTCTGATGGGAAGAGAGAGATATCAAGACCCACGTCCATGGTGGAGCAAAGAAAGAGGACACACGATTTCTGGTTCTCGAAGGCAGGGAGACAATGCCTCTGGCCACGTAGACAATCGACTGTCTGTGTGGAGGGAATGACCTCTTGCAGGTGATCAAGCTGGTTGGGAAGAGGGAAGTGGGGCACACCTGAATATTGTAGACCTCTTGCAATTGCCGGCGGGCAAAGAGGGCCTGGCTCTGGCTCAGAAGCTCAGTAGCCTACTTGGAAAGAGCAAGACCTCTTGCTGAGCAGGTCAGATGCCTACTCTGCAATAAGTCTTGCCTCTCTACCAGTATGGTGTTGCAAGCGGGTCTGGGCACAGGCCCCAGTCCCGCGTGTCCTCGCGCCACCGGGGCCTGGGCCAGCCCCCAGGGGGCTTGATTTGGCAGGTCGCGCGGGGGTCGGACCTTGGCACTGGCCCAAGTCTGGCTGAGCCCAAGCTCTGGGCTCACCAGATCACCGACATCGACTACACCACGGGCTCTGGTGGACGAGTGCTTGACGGAAGCGGTTCCGTCAGCTTGACCCATGCCGCCCCGACCAATAATTTGGGGTGCTTCATAGCGGGGGGCGTAATCCCCCGCAGTCGGCTTGCCAGCGGTTGCAAGGCAAGCTTGCGGCGGCTTGACAGGGTTATGTCATCTTGACAGTTGCTGCGCAGCAGCTGACTGCAGTAAGAAAAAAAAAGTTATTTATCTTGGGGCTTGAACTCTCTACCTGTACTCACACCATCTTCAGCTCAATGCATGATGATGTGACAGGAGGGACTATCCAACTATGCACAACGCGCAATCGGCCCAAGAAAGCAGAATTTCTTGGCGCACAAGAATTCAGCACACATGTAGCTTTTCATGTCCCAGGTTTCTTTGGCTGATTTTTTCAATTTCTTTGGCTGATTTTTTTCGTTTTTCTTTGGCTTTTATTTTCTTTGGCTGATTTTATTTTCTTTGGCTGATTTCTTTTTCTTAGGCTGATTTATTTTTCTTGGGCTGATCTCCTTATTCTTGGGCTGATTTCTTTTTCTTTGGCAGATTTTATTTTCTTTGGCAGATTTTTTTCTTTGGCTGTTATCATTTTTGTTGGCTGATTTTTTTTTCTTTGGCCAAGTTTTTTTTTCTTTGGCTGAGTTTATTTTGTTGGTTCCTTTTCTTGTCCTTATTGTGTGAATGAAGTTGCCAAAGATGTCAGGGGGAATGGGCCCACCGGCACACATCTGATCAATCAAAAAAAAAATCAAACTACAATGATTCTAACATCTCAATCCAACATTGGTACAAGTTGTCAACAAGGTCTGAGAGTCATAGAACTGTCCATACCGATCAGTCTGTTCAAACTTTGCACAGAAAGTGAACAGGGTCTGGTCACTGAGTTTGGCCTGCCTGAGCTCACTGGGAAAGTGCAAGACACCCTGGATGCCTGCAGGCTGAAATCATATAGGCATCCAACCAAGTCACTGAGACAATCACAAGAGATGATATTTTTTTGAACATGGAGAAGGAGACAGAACAAGCTTGTTAGAAAATATAGCTTGTCTAAAGGCTTATTGGAATGGGAAGTAAATGTGAATGGAAGACTTCCCGTCAACCAGATGGCTTAATTTAGACGGACCAGCTAAACTTTGTTTGCTGGTGAAATCTCGAGGTCAAACAATTTTCACCAGCCAATAATGTTTAGCCCTTCCTTCTAAATTTACAAATTGAGATGACGGGAAGTCCTCCAATAATAAAAGTTCTTCGAATCAGGTTGAGATGTGTAGTGGGTGCCCTGTTATTTTTGGCTGCTTGTTTTGGATTCCAGATCTTCAAAGAACAAGCTTGAATTCACAAGACTTGTGCATGTGGTGCAGAGTAGGGCCAAAAGAATGAATATGAAAAAATAAAAATAAAAAATAAAGTAGGGGGTATCGAATATAGGAAATCCACCATCAGAAACCAGTCACTTTTCCAAAAACTTTTTTTTGCATAAACGGGCCCCAAAAGGGGTTAAATGGATAACCAAAATGTTTAAAAAAGGGCAGATTTTTTCAAACCAGTCAATTAAATAATGGAGGATTTGGTTATATTTGATTTCAAAATTTGTGAAAAATAAAACAATAAAATTGTTTTTTTCCCAAAGCGTTGATATTCATTTTGGGGAAGTGGGAGTGCTGAGAGAAAGAAAGAGTGGAGCCTAAAAAAATGATTATAAATGAAAAAATTGTAACCAAAAAAGGTTGAGCCAGGTTGGTTGTTCAGACAGGAGTCAAAACTAGAGATTGTTTGTTTGTACTTGGGTACCTGTTGAATTCTTTCAGGAAACAGGTACCCAGTACCACACCTGGCACCTCCTGGCGGGTACCGGCAGTACTTTTGGCGGGTACCACAGGTACCTCCCCTCTCTCTTTCTCACCTAGTTTCACTCCCAGAGTCCCAAGTCATTTTTTTCATTTTATTGTTTTCTCTCCCACAGTCCCAAGTCTCTTTTTTAATTTTTTGGTCACTTTTATTGATATCTATTCTTTTCAGTGTTCACTCCCAGAGTCCCAGGTGAGTTTTTTTCATTTTTTTTCACAATTACTGTTGCCCACACAACAAACCAAAATTGGTGTGTGGGTGTGACACCATCATCTTTTGATGTGTGGGCCTGCACACCCTTTTCTAGGCAGGCACCTCCCTAAAAAAGGGTGTGCCGGCAAACACACCAAAAATGGATGGTGTGTTGGCATGCACGTCACATTAACACCTGCCAAGAAGTTGGCAGGTGGGAACAGAAGGGCTGTTCTCATCTGGAGGATACCCTCCCAATGAGCTGGATTTAAAACCAGCTCATTGGGAGGAAACCTCTTGATGAGCTGGATTTAAAACCAGCTCATTGGGAGGAAAACCTCTTGATGAGCTGGCCATCAGGAGGGTTTCCTCCCAATGGGCTGGATTGTGTACCAGCTCATTGGGAGGAAGCCCTCCCAATGAGCTGGTAATTCCTCATTCAAGTTGATAGGAATAGTGATGAAGTTTAATATGAGAAATATTGTTAATAATTTCAATACCACAGGAGTTTTTTAGGAAGGATCACAATTCATGATAGATTGTAGAGATTCAAGTAAGGAAATAAAATCTGTGTAGAAATTTTGATGGAGAAAGTGGGTAGTGATGAGTGCAATCCACAAAGAAAAAAGGGTCACAAGATGACGGGTATGTAAGATGATCCCAGGGATTTGATTGAACATTTCACTAAAGCTCGAGAATCCCTGTAGAACTTGGTTGTATAAGATGGCAGCGGTTTCTTTGGTTTCAGGCGGATCGTTTTTCCCACACTGTTCTGAAGGGCCTTTATTTTGCCATTAGGTACATAGCCTCCTCCACCAATATAGACTGGTGTGGCACTCAAATCTTCAACTGAAAGGGAAGATTTCATACAAAAGGAGTGGGAATTAGTTTTCTCAATGTTGACTTGCACAGAAACCAATTAGATCAGGACTCAATCACTCACAAAGATAAGCAAAAGTGGTCAGAGCACCTACAATCAATCACAATTTCATTTTTGGCAATTAGGTTGCTAGTCTGAATAACTTGTAACAATCAAATGACGTAGGTTATAATTGACCAACTGCAGTGATGACTACACTGAGGGCTAAATGTCATATAAAGGGTCTGACCAGAGTTAAGGCTGATTGGAGCACTGTAAGGTGGTTCAAGTAAGTTTTTGTTGGGAAGGTTGTGTTGAGGGGGGAAGGGTACCCAATGAGCTGAACTACGCACCAGCTCATCAAGAGGTTTCCCTCCCAATGAGCTGGTACACAATCCAGCTCATTGGGAGGGTGTCCTGCCCACACGCTAGATTTAGAGCCATCTTGTTGGGAGAAAACCATCCCAATGAGAACCTTTGACAATTCTTGGTGGCTGGGAATGGGCAGTACACGGGTACTACCCCTTTTTTGGCCAATAAAACTGGCACCTGGCACCTTCTGGCAGGTGCCCAGA